ATAATCATAGTAGGATCCAGGATAGACAAAGGAGAAAGCTCTATAACCTAGGTACATCTTTCCCAGTGAAATTAATTGTATTATTAGACAAACTGCTTCAGCAGCTGGCAAAACAGCAGGAACACGTCGATTCTGCTTCCTTGGTTACAGGGAGTGATAGTGTACTTGACCTTCACAGGAACAGGGTCATGGGGAGGGCATTTTTAAATAATTCTTGTCATTTTATCCCTGGAATCTTTATAAATGGAGTTTAGATACAACACTTGGGAGTAGAATAAAACTGATGTCTTCAGTTTTCTTCAATTGTTTTGCCCAAAGATCTTTGCTGAGGAAAAATGTAAATAAAACTGCAGAACGATTTGACACTGTAAGTATTGGAGTCTGTATAGTTTCAAGCTTGAAGCAAATAATTCTAAGATTACTAATAGATAAGATTGTTCTTTAAATGTATATATAGAATATATAGGTAGTATTTATGCATTATTTTAGTAATCTTTTATTAAATGACATTTTACAGTAATTTAAACTGATAATAAATTATTAATATTTTTATCAAATGAATGGATTTACAAATTGGGAATATTTTAAGTGTTTGGAAAAGGCCATTATTTTTTTCATACTGATTTTAACTAATAGTTTTAATCATAATTATCAGTTATTGATGTATGTTATTGCTTCACATCCTTTATATGGTGAGCAATATTCCTTAATTCATAAGTATGTTAATTCATACTTTGTAACTATTTTTATAACAATCACAATAATTATTAACATTGTCTGATAAAATACATTACTGTATTTGATTTTGCATTATCGAAGTCAGATTGTTACTGCATTCCTTAAGAATAAGTCTGGTAGTAAGCAAACTATGTGCTTGCCTATTTCAAAATTGTCTAATGCAATCTTTCCCAAATTAGTACTTTCTAATACTACTATTAGCCATGGTGGCTTGGAATTATGAGAGTTTTTCTTAAAACCATCTGGATAGAAGCAGGTTTCCAAAGGCTGTTTTAAACTAAGATATGTAAAGGTGAGCTAGTAAGAAAAAAATTGTTTGTTATATTCATTGTGTTAACGCATGCATACGCACAGATAATACAAAACTGTTTGAAATTAAATTTTAAAACTGCATATTTTATTTCAAATGTCAATTGTTTAACAACAGAGCTAGATATATATTATTGCGTGTGGCAAATAATTCTGCAGTGGCACATCTGACATTTCCTGTACCTCATGTCCATTTCCAAAATGCCATGCAATTTTCTGAATGAAAAGTACTTGTATTGTGCTAACTATCTTCTCTTCTGGGGAAAAATTAGTATTCCGCTATAAGTGGATCTTGTATTATATATTTGTATCATTGGTCTGTTTCTTTTAATTCAAAATGTTGGCAATATAATATCAAGGACGAAGCTGAAGAACTGCAAATAAGTTATCTATCCTAAATACCTTAATCTTGTAAGCTACCATGAGTCACTTCAAAGCAAGATGGCCAGCAAATAAATAAATAATAAAATAAATAAATAACCTTATTTTGTATAAAAACCTAGACTGTGGTAGACATTTTTGACTCATTCTGTGATAATGCCCATCTATTTATAGCTGTAGACTTAAACATTTTTAAATAACATTTCATGGAGCATTTTTTGAGATCATTGTTAATTGTATTTCTAGTTAAAATAAGTCAGAAAAAGACACATATTGTCCGTGTTTAAAGTAAAAAGTTTTTTTTTGGAACTGGATTTTTCTCAATATGTAGTACAAATAAAACCATAATGGAGCTTGCCTATCAGCCATAAGTCATAATGGCCATAAAACGGTTCATCCACATGACTCGGTTTTATAACCTTTTTTATGCTGGCCATTAAAAGAGTGCAATTGTTGTAAAGTAAATGCCATGATCATTAAGTCAACACTGTGGTTGTTAAGCACACTGATAATTTGTTACAGAAGTAAATGCCAGTTTCCAGCAAAACTGTGATAAAACAAGGTCATATGACCATGAGACACTGCAAATAGCTGTAAATGTGGGCTGCCTGCCAAACATCCAACATGTGATCATGTGACCGTGAGACGAGAGTCTTGGAACTTCAGAAGTGTGTCATAAATACCTTGGGGGACTCCGTCATAACATCAAACTTCATTTAATGGTGTGATTTGCTTTTTGGCCATAGTAACTTGATTTACAACTGTTGTAATAAGTTATAAAATCAAATCTGGTCATGTGCTGCCTCGATTTATGCCTGCAACATGTTACAGCCAAAATTCCGGGCTCCATTCTGATCATACATAAATGACTAATATGTGTTAGTCATTTAGCCTTCAACTCTTTTTATATCTGTGTATAATTGATTTCTTTTTGACATTTATATGAAAGGATACTAAGATGATTTATTTGAATATTTAGGTGCTATGTATTTTTTTTTTTGAAAGACATGATACTATTTACTTCAAAAAGTAATGTAGAAACAGTACAATGTGTCCCAGAAAGTTTATTTGCTTATATTGTCATATATGTGTGTGTGTGTGTGTGTGTGTGTATAAAACATTTGAATAAAATATTTTTTTAGGCCTTCAGATGAACATGAAAATAAATTTTGGTAGAATGTCAAGACTGATAGATAATATCAGACAGTGGACTCATCTTACTGCATGAACTTTAGGCTTGTTCATTCTGCCTTCTTGCATGTATTTATACTGTTACAGCAAATTGTTGCTTACTGTTATATCTTAAGCAGATGTAGATGCCACATCAATGAAACATTGAAAGAAGTCTATTAATCCATAACTATTTATATCGGAGTTGAACTATTAAATTGACCACATTTGTCTATATAAAATAATGTTCCAAATAATATTCTCTTGGAGGTGTTGTTTGGAATTCCCCTTCCTACAATTCTGTTCTAAGAGACAACTAAGAACACACCTCCCTTCAGTTAGGAAGCAGATTGATGACTAATGTCTCTTAACTTGCCATCTTCTTGGAAATGACATATATAGTCAGTACTATAAAACAAAAGGATATTTAAATTAAATAAGTCTTATTTTCAAAATAAGAAAGAAAGAGCTTATCTTCTGTAAGGCCTTAAAGGCCTGGGGAGGGTGTCACAATGTAGAGTTGAGTCAGTGCATTGGATAGTTCTGATGGATCTGTTTTTACAATGGTTGCTATTTTGTGTGTTGTTTTAATTTTAATTTGTTTAAAATATTTTTCTAACATTAGCTGCCCTAAGTCATTAATTTGAGATGGACAGCTATATTTATCTATTTATCTATCTATCTATTTATTTTGTATCCCACCTTTATTATTTTTGCAAATAACTTAGGGTGGCAAACATCCAACATACCTTCTTCCTATTTCCCCACAACACTGAAGTAGGTTGGGCTAAGAGAGTGAGTGGCCCAAAGTCACCCAGTTGGTGTTCATAGCTAAGATGGGACTTGAACTTGTGGTCTCCCAACCTGATGCCTTCAGCATGAACCAAACTGGCTTTCTATATAAATAAATAAGAAACATTTATCAGGACTTGTCCACAACATCTATTTTACATTTTATAGTATATTTGAAAAACTATTCTCTCTTTCAAAATATTTATTAAACATCCTTAGTCTATCTCATAGGAGATCCTTTATGTAATACCCTGGTGGTGCAATGGTTATAATGCAGTATTGCAGACATACTCTGCCCACAACCTGGAGTTTGGTCTTAATGGGATTCAAAGTTGACTTAGCCTTTCATCTTTCCGAGGTCGGTAAAATGAGGACACAGGTTGTTGGGGGCAATATGCAAATAATGTTGACATTGTAAACTACCCAATGAGTACTGTAAAGCACTATGGGGCTTTGCCATCCTCTTTGAAGAAAGACTTCAAAATATTCCAACACAAGAATGATTTTATTTCTGCCCCCTAGAGGAAATAAAAACAATTTCACAGGTCTTCTTGAAGTGTCTTTTTTTTTTTTTCCAACGGGACATGGCATATAGTCACCCAAGATCAGAGAGAGAGCTCTCTTGCTTTCTTTTAGCTGACATCTCAGTAAATATTTGTAGAAGGGTTACCAGATTTCTTGTAATTGCTGTTGCTACAAGACAAGTTAATTATATAGCAATCTTGTTAATTTGTTTCCTCCAAGGTGATTTGTATTCCTTTTGGCTTGCTTAGTTTTAATGTTCTTTATTCATTCTCACTGCTTTAATACATGCAGTATTTTAGTTTTACCTTCTGTATTTTGTCCTCCAACCATAAACTTAATTTAAAAACAATTCTAATTTTAATAATTATTTAATTATTCATTTATCTTAGCTTTTGCATTGGGCTGTAATATATTATAATGTGCTTGATGTTTTGGTCTCCAAGGACATATACCCTTCAAATAGTTTACATTATCACCTTTAAAGAAGATTTATTTTTAATCAATGTGACATACATACTTTTAACTATCCTTACCTCCACATCCAAAGACACAGGTAATTGAATTCCATTTCCTGAATTTCCTATTAAGAAAATGGTAATGCATGGAAAATAGTTTTATTAGTGCACCATGTCTGAAGATTTTCTTTCCTGATAGAAGGTTCTAGTCTAGGATGCAAAAAAATAATTACATATATCCCATATTCAGCATACCTGAAACCCTTAGAGCAGACATGTCAAACTCGCAATGTCACATGATGTCGTGCAACGTATCAGGATGGTTTTGCCATTGCTGGCAATGGAGTGGGTGTGGCTTCCAGATGATGCGTCCAGCCCACAGGCCAGCAGTTTGACACCCTGCCTTAGAGCCTGTGGAGCTGATTTGGAAGGCATTCTTTGGAATTTGGAGGCAAAATATGTGCCTTATAACTTGGAGAATATGGAGCGTGTACTCTGCTTTACAGTCCTCTAATCAAAAGATTTCAATTATTTAATAAAATATTTATTAAGTTATATAATAATGAATAAAATAATAAACACTGTATTGTTTTGCCATATATAAAGTCTTCTTTTCATAAATCATTTTAGGTCCAAGCTGTCCAGTCAACTTTATCTGAAAATCCAGTGATGACCAGCCCTTCCCAGCGCATCCAGATAATCTCCACAGATTCCACTGTATCATCACCACAGCGTATTCAGGTATAGATTTGTCTTCTAAATATAGTCTGTTTCATCTTTCTGCTTAATGTGTAGCATCAAATTTGTTCAATAGAGCATATTAATTTTATTTTTTTTTCTTTCATGTAATAATTTCAGACCTAATATGTAATTTTATAGTTATTTAGAGATGGTGTACAAGGAACAGATTTACTGTGAGAAAAGCGATCTACTACTTGAGAGGTTTTATTTTATTATTGGAACTATGTTTTTGTAAGCATCTTGGGAGAGAGCCTTCTTTCCTATTTGTATACAGTGGTGAAGAATACATGTTTGGAGACAATTTCTTGCTTCATTTTGAGTAATCATGTATGTATTCAAAATACCTGTTGGTAGAATCTTTCCATTTTTATGATAGCATTTTTCTTTTTTGCCTAACCTGCATCTATAATTTAGTAACAAACACAGCATCCTTGGTACCTTAAAATAATGGCATATGATTCTTAAAGGTGAACTTAAAACATGCAAAATTGATTTGTTTGTTTTTTTACTTATTTATTGAATTCAATTTATTCTCACACAATCATGTTTTATTTTTTGTTATAGATTGTCACAGATCAACAAACAGGGCAGAAAATTCAAATAGTGACAGCAGTGGATTCATCAGTAAACCCAAAGCAACAATTTATACTTGCTAGTCCAGATGGTACTGGAACAGGGAAAGTAATATTAGCTGCACCTGAGACTTCTAATACCAAGCAACTTATTTTTACCACCACAGATAATATTGTGCCAGGCAGAATACAGGTAAACACCACAGTTAAAGAATGATATGTATATTGGATATTCAGACTTAAGAGCATGCAGAAAAAGGGCTCATAGTTTAACTAATTAGCATAGTTCCGTAGAATTTATATTCTAGTCTCCAATCATATTGTTGAAATACTATCAGCTCAACAAAAATCAGATGATATCAAAACATAGAGGCAAAACTAAAGCTGTGATTAAGATTGTATAGATCAACAGTGATGTAAACCACTGCCCCTTACAAGGTAAGGGGCAGTGGTTTACATCATCTTGAGGCAATTAGTAGATGGCTATAACTATAACTATAATCACTATAACTTTTCTTCACTTTATCATGCCAGCAGTTACCATGTACACTTTTAAACCTTTTCCTTGCTGTCTTGCTATACTGGTTTTTTTTTTTTAATTTTCCATATTTCTTCACTTTCTGCATGCTTATTTTGCAGTTGCACAACTGTGCCCAAGCTGTGTTTTATGTTTAAAAAATTTGCAGCATCCTTTAAATACAATATCGTATAGAAATTATAGTGAAAAATTTTAAATGTTTCATTTTAGATTGTCACTGACTCTGCCTCTGTGGAACGTTTGTTGGCTAAAACTGATGTCCAGCGGCCACAAGTAGTAGAGTACTGTGTTGTCTGTGGAGACAAAGCATCAGGTAAGAGATGCCAAGCTACTTGGTTGAAAAGACACACTTGCCTACCAATCTTTCATTCAAAGGCAGGTTTGGTGAGGCTAAAAACAAAAGAAACTTTTTGGGTAGCAGTGGGGATTCTTCAAGAAAAAAAACTGACTTAATGTCTGTATTGTAATAGTGATATTGTTAATTTTCCATAGACTTCTTGGCCCCCAAGTGCACATTATTCCTTTTAGGCACATATGCAGTGAGAATATCTTCCAGAGCACCTAGGAAATTTGCTTTGGTTCCCAGGAGAGAGGGGCACCATTGTGGAAATTGTGTTGCCTAACAATGGAATTGTATGGGGTATTGAAGAAAAACTGCATTTTATCTTTATTAATTAATTAATTTACACTTCATATTTATGAACCGCCCATCTCACTCAGAGAGGGACACTGGGTGGCATAAAATAAAACATTAAAATATAAAGCAGCATACGAAAATTACCAATGTTAAAGTTTTAAAATTAAAAATTATAAACATTTTTAAGGAGGCGTGAAGAATTAAAGCCTGTAAAAATTAGTTGACGAAGGTAAAAGGAGGTCTCCCGTGACACCAACCAATCCCACGATTGTGTGCTCCTTTGCGTTCCCAACACAAGAGCCAGAGCCAGGTTTCAACCCCTTTTCAGAAGGCCAGGAGAGTAGGATCCGCTTTACCTCTGGGGGAAGAATATGCCAAAGACTCTCTTCCTAGACCCTGCCAGTAGGAGTTCTTTAACTGACGGGATCTGCAACCTATTTTCCCTGCTTGGTCAGGTGGTGCAGGCTACTATGATGGGACGAAGCCAATTCCATAAGTAGCCTGGCTCTATGTCATTTTTACTGAAAATTGGCACTTACTTCTGGCTTCCAGCACAAATTATCCATAGGCAACAATGAGTTCGCCTTATCACCATGCTAGTTGCTTGATGGCTGCCTCAAAAAAGGTCATAAAAATAGTTTCAGTCACATAGTGACCCACTTTATGTCTGCGATCATAAGTTGAGGACTACCTGTTCCATTTAAAAGACATAATCAAAAATCAGGGAAGGAAACAAACAACCCCAAGCATAGCTACCCTAGTAACCACAGTCTCCAGAAAAGCAGGAAATAGCATCGGATAAGCAATCAAGAAAGAAAGAATACGCTAATTAAGGAACCACCCAAGGGGGGGGGGGAACACACCTCAGTCTAGACTGGCAAAGAGAACATCTGTGTGTTTTTGCTTTAAGTGACAGCATTAACATAAATTTGGCTGCTGGCTCTGTTAAATCTTTATAGTTTTTATAGCTTGGTTTTACAGTTCTTCCCCATTCTGAGAGCTTTCATAGTTACAAACAGATAAGTTGTATAAATGAATGACTATCGTATAGAAAGTCCTCAAGTTACGACCATTCATTCAGTCATGGTTAAAAGTTATGCTGTCATTGAATGAAAGGACTTATAACCAGTCCTCAAAGTTCCACCGCTTGCAGTGTCCCCACAATCATGTTAACAAAATTTGGCTGTTTGGTAATCAGATCACACTTAAAACAGGTTGCAGTATCCCCCAGTCACTTGATCACCATTACCAATCTTCCCTGCTAGCTTCCTACAAGCAAAGGTAAAAGAGAAGTCGGTGGGGAAAGTCACAAGTTGCTTGGGCAAGTCTGTTCCCTCCCCAACTTTTTTTGACTAACATGCACCATGATCTCCCTCCCCCTCACTTGCTCTCACCCACCAGCACCCTTCTTCCCTGGCCTTCCTGAGATCACACCAAGGCGTTCAGTCACCAGCACCTTTCTTCCCTGGCTTCCCTGCACTTCCACTGAATTACGGCACAAACCCAACTCATGTGCAACTTATGCTCAGCCTCCCCCTCCTTCTGCTACCTGTTTATTAACTCACAGGAGGCGGAATTATGTTACCTTATGTTTGAGTTATGATGACATCTGGGACTGCCTGAATTGCTGTTGCTAAGTGATACGGTATTGTCATGTCACTCTTTATAGCTCTGTATCACTTAGTGACTGCAATCCCAGTCCCAGTTGCCATCGTAACTCAAGGACTATCTATAAGTGGTCTCCATCTGGCTTACACACAAAATATATCTTGGTTTAATTACTGCAATCTCATAAAACAATTCTACTATGATGTAGAACATCCCCCCCAAAAAAATCCAAGAAAGACCTTTGATTTACAAGAATTCAGTTTTATAGAAATTATAAAGTTAAAAGCAAATTGACAGAACCATTGAATAGTGGGTATTGCATAAGTAAAAATTGCTTTAAAATGTACTTTTTTATTGTAATCGTATTTTCTTAGTTTCTTAGATTTTCTCTCCCTTTTTAAAGGTCGTCATTATGGTGCTGTCAGTTGTGAAGGATGCAAAGGCTTTTTTAAAAGAAGTGTGAGGAAAAATCTGACATATAGTTGCCGTAGCAACCAAGATTGTATCATCAATAAACACCATCGGAATCGTTGCCAATTTTGTCGGCTCAAAAAATGCCTTGAGATGGGAATGAAAATGGAATGTGAGTCTACAGTTCATAAAATACTTCTTTTGTATCAAAAAATTAAAGGTGGAAGTTTGGTGATTTCACTGATTGAAACTTGTTTCTACTATTTGGTATACTGATTGCATACTCCCAATCAAACTCTGTTTGATGCTAATCTTTGGCTGAGCTTTACATTTAAATCTTCAAAGTTCAGATGTTTGTATTGTAAATGAAACAGCAAAATGTTTCAATTGGTATATTGATTGATGGAAATGTGATATTCAAAACAGAAATGATTATTTCGGGAGAGTTTATATCTTGAATATGGTAGTGTATTAAAACAAATTAACGGACAAGCTGAAAGAAACAATTCTGGCAGCAGAGCTGGGGAATGTATCTGCAGTACAGGATAAAATAGAGAGTCTCTAGTATTAAATAAATCACTAACATCTTGGTTGTTCAGATCAAGAGCAAAGACAGGATGTGCAATGCCTGACTGGTACCAAAAATATTCCAGTTGCTTTTGGAAAACCATGTCCTGGACAACTGAGAATCTCCATAGACATAAACCCAAATTTGAAGTTTCAGGAATTCTCTCCAGCACATAGTGATGTAAGTGCATTTCAGGCACTCAGTAACTGGGTCATACTTACAGTTGTTTGCAGTGCCCCATGGTCATGTGAATGAGTTTTACAATAGTTTTGCCGAAAACCAGCATTTCTGGGTGTTTTTTTTTTGGCAAAACCTTGCCCATAGCCAACCATTGGTTTGTTTGACAACTGCAGATTCATTTCATAACCACAGTGATTCACTTAACAACTGCCATAAAAAACATCATAAAATTGGGTGGGTCGTATAACTAATCATTTTCTGACCATCACAAATTACAACAGGACTACTTGTACTTGTGTCAGTTTCAGTTTACTTTACTACAAATTTGGATTCTTTGGAAAAATGCTAAGAGACATTTGGCTGTGTCTATATGTCCTTTGAATTTAACTATATTTCGTAAACATACATCTAGTTGATTCACTGTTCAAGTTGGTTCACAATACTTCACTATTTAACTATATTGTTATTAAAATTGATGCACAATTACAATTAATATCATTACTAATTGTTTCAGGGCTTTTCCCCCTGCATATAAAATGTTGTATTTTGCTTTATTTTTCTGAGACCACAAATAACATGGAAAAAGATATACAATTATTTTTGTATGTAGAGTGATGCATATTTGAATCTTGTTGCTTAAATTGGCACAGCCTGTAAATTTCTACTTCTTTTTTTGTTGCTGTTTTTTTATTTCTTTGTTCCTCTTTTTTTGGTTGTATTTTTAAATATCTGTTAAAATAAAATAAAAAAGTGCTAAAAAGCTTAATGCCATTAGTATATTATAGAAAATATCCCCAGACAACTTTGTAATAATATTGTATAAAATGGCTGATAATTATTCACATTATCCTATGTATCAGAACAGCAGGATGAAATAGAGTCAGTACACCTTTGGTTAAAATGAATAGTATATGTGAGTTAATGCTTTTAAGAATCTATGTGTTGCATAGAGTTTTAAATCTGTGCATTTGATGTGTTGTGATGTAGCTGTGCAGAGTGAAAGGAAGCCTTTTGATGTACAGCGTGAGAAACCAACCAATTGTGCTGCTTCGACAGAAAAAATATATATTAGAAAGGACTTAAGAAGTCCTCTGATTGCAACCCCAACATTTGTTGCAGATAAAGATGGGGCTAGGTAAGTAATCTCTGTGTCTTTAAAGCCCCTTTAGAGTTAAATATTTAAGTTGTGAAAACATTTCAATATTATTTAGAAAGTTGCTAAGTTAGACAGAAACTAGCTTTATTTCCTTATAATGGAAATACCATTTTTATTTTATTCGTTAACATTGTCCAACATTAAAACATAGAATGACAAATATTAATAAGCAAAAGGAACAAAAAGCAAAATAGTATGAGATTTTGTTTCCATTTACTCTTTTCATTCTTTTTCAAATTATATTCTTGTATGTACAGATATAGTATATCCTGGAGCATAAGACCAATCCATAGATAAGCAAACTCTCAAAATTTTCATATCTTATTCTCAAATGGATTTATCCACAATGATGTGGATATATGTGTGCTTCAAGAGAAAAACCTACTGTATATACTGGTGGATAAGTCCACCCAAACCAAATATTTTGGATGTATTTTGGCTCCTAAAATTCTGGATTTATCTGCAAGCATATACAATGCAGTATCTAAAGTACAAATCTCTAGAGAAAGAGACCAGTGGAGTTTCTTGTTTGTTTGGTTTTTTTTTACTGTGAAAACCAAGTTAAGAATTGAATCTGGAATAAATAATCTGTCTGGTATAAAGACAGATTAGCCTGTAATTTATACTGATAACCAAAACTGATCCAAAAGGAGTAGTAATATAAAAGTTCCTTCTCGTTTAAAAAATATCAGACAAAAATTATGTATTTATACAATTTATGTACCTGTATATCTCATTGCTACAACTTTGAGTAGCTACAATGAATTAAAACCAAAGCCAGCAAAATGATTCAAATAATGGGGGGGGGGAAAGGTAGCAAAAAATTTATACCATGTGCCAGAAATCGAAAGAGATTATTTAATCTTGTATTTAATAATGAACAACTAAGCAACGTATCGACCTATCAGCTGGGCTCATCTAATACTCCAGCCCAAATTCATGGGAAAACAACTAGGTCTTAAGCATCTCATAGAAGGCCAAAAGGATTAGGGCTGCTTTAACAAGCCAAGAAGGGAGATGGATCTAACGAGCAGATGACTGAGTTCACATCCTAAAGGCTTATCCCTGTTTTGCTAGATTTGTTTTCCCAGCCCTTCTGCCAGTTCAATATAATTTCTGCAAAAGCAAAACCAGAAAGTATTTTGATCAATAATTTCAGAAATCACAAAATTACAAATCATAATGGTACTGTTCGTGATGTAACAAAGGAATATTGTAGACTTTAATAACATAATGTTATGTTGTTTTTGTTATTTTTATCCTCTTCCTGAACAGATCAGCCAGTCTTCTTGATTCAGGGATGCTTGTAAACATTCAGCAGCCATTAATACGGGATGATGGTACAGTGCTACTTGCTACAGATCCCAAGGTAGCCTTCCTTAGATTTAATTGCACAACTCATGTTTTCCTGCTTTTCCTAGTTGCTGTCTTATTATTTATGAAGAATGTATATATTAATAGATAATTTTATATTTGACTAATGGCAATTGGGACTAGAATTTCCACTGCTAAGCAATGTGGGCATAAAGCATGATCACATTGCCTAGCAAAGTAGTCTCTGCTGTCCTGGCTGTTGGTAACCAAATCTCATGGCCATTAGGTGAGGCAACTTCCTGTCAGCTTCCCACAACCAACTCAGTAGGGAAGCTGGCAGGACACTGCAAGTCTCAGATAGCTATTTAGTAGCCCAGTGGCAGACAGTGAGGAGCGTAGCGAGATTTGGAGGGTGTATGAGGGTGCGAGGAAGGTGTGGCAGACTTTAGGAAGACTACATAGGGATGTGCAAGGCTGCAAGGGGAGATTGCAAACGGGTGCAATGCAGGCTTGGGGAGGCTGTACATGTGGCTGACAGAACACAAGTGCAGAGAAACTGGAAGATTTACATCAGTTAATTGCCAACAATGATGATATGATAGTGGAGTGCTGCAACTGGTCATTAGTGTGACCTGATTGCCAAACACCAAGTTTGCAATCACGTGAGTGCAGGGGTGCTGGGATGGTGGGAACTTTGAGGAGTTGTCATAACCATTATTTGTTCACCACCATGGTAAGTTCAAACTGTTCCTAAGTTGAGCACTACTCATTCAGACTATAGTAATGAAAAGTAGACCTGGCTTTATCAACCCCCTGATGTGTATTATATTTGACTAATATTATTTATGTTATCTAAAGTTTTCATTGTAATTTTGACTTCATTTTAATTACTTTTGTATCTGTATTAGGAAACAGGCACAGATTATATTTAAAGAAACTCAATCATTTAATGCAAAATGTTACTTTTTTTTTTTTTTTTTTTTTTTTAGGCTGAGACAAGCCAAGGTGCTTTGGGAACACTAGCAAATGTTGTAACTTCAATTGCCAGCCTTAACGAATCTCTTAATAATGGAGATACTTCAGAAGTTCCACAAGAAGACCAATCTGCAAGTGAGATTACTCGGTGTGTGCTTCATATGAAATTTTTCTAATTGGTCTCCCTGACTATTAAAAGTAATTTTTCACTGATGAAACTACAATACTATTAATAATAGGTATTGCTTTGTTTTTGAAATTCATTATGTTGTTCATTCTCATTTTAGACTTATGAATCAATCTAACTAATATTTTTTAACACAGTTGAATGTTGAAGAGTAGTTAAGAAAAACAGTACAAAAACAACATGTTGGTTATAGTGTATGCTGTGTAAAGGTGTTTATAATTGGGAAAAAATTAATTTGCCATGTGGAATTACAATTTAACTTTTTAAATCATTGGCATCTTTGGTATCCTTGTGTAAAATGTCTCTGAATTTATGATAGACACAAGTGTACTTATAGTACTGCAGTGCCAAAGAATCCATTCCATTTTATTTATTCCCATCAAACATCAGTAAAGTACATTTATATGCCTGGAAACCCTGGCAATTTTCCTAGAGCTGCAAATAACTTCCTGTTTGGGGGGTTAATGATGTTATTGATTGATGGACAAGACTTCAGTAGTTTTATGTCTCATTGATAAATGTAATATGAGAAGCTTATATGATATACTTACTCTTATATGCAGGGCGTTTGATACTTTGGCTAAAGCACTTAATACTACAGATGGTGCCACAGCAGAGAACTTAGCCGATGGGATGGATCCCACAGGTGGTGGAAATATTCATGTCATCAGCAGGGATCAGTCCACTCCAATCATTGAAGTTGAAGGACCTCTCCTTACGGATACTCATGTGACATTTAAGGTCTGTTTTTCCTTGATTTATTTTGGGAGAGCTATCATTAACTACTTCTTGTAAAAATGAGTTCTCATAATGTATAAAATCAAATCACATTACATCTTAGTATGCTGTTTGAAACAAATCAATGTTTGCTTATTAAAAGGAAAAAATACAATTACCAAATGCTACCATTCTGTAATTATTTTTTGAAAAAAAATGTTCTTTCTATAGTACTGCATATTAAACTTTTCTGATATTGAACCGTTATATTTAATTACAGGTAGTCCTCGACTTACGACCACAATTGAGCCCAAAAGTTCTGTTGCTAAGCAAAACATTTGTTAAGTGAATTTTGCCCATTTTACAATCTTTCTTGCCACAATTTTTAAGTGAATCCCTGCAGTTGTTAAATTAGTATCACAGTTGTAAATGAATCTGGCTTCCCCATTGACTTTGCTCGTCAGAAGGTCGCAAAAGGTGATCACATGATCCTGGGACACTGCAACCGTCATAAATATGAGTCAGTTGCCAAGCCTCTGAATTTTGATCATGTGATCCTGGGGTGGCTGCAACAGTTGTAAGTGTGACAAATGGTCATAACTCACATTTTTTCAGTGCTGTTGTAACTTCAGCCACTAAATGAACTGTTGTAAGTGAAGGACTACCTGTATTCCACATTATCATTGTAAATTGAGATCCCTAGCTACATAGAAGTACTGAAGTTGTTATTTAAAATGCAAATAATTTTTTTAATAATAATAACAACAACAACAACAACAACACATTTACTATCAAACAAGGAAAAGTAGTGAAAACTGAAGGAATCAAGATGCCCCACGAAAATAACATTAAGAGTCTGGATGAGGAAGATTACTACAAATACTTGGGTATCCTTCAAGCTGACAACATCAAGTACACTGAAGTCAAGAAAAAGATTAGAGGTGAATATATCAAGAGAGTGAAGAAGATCTTAAAGTCCAAACTCAATGGAGGAAATACCATAAAGGCAATCAACACCTGGGCAATCCCAGTCATTAGGTACACAGCTGGGATAGTGGACTGGACTCAAGCAGAACTAAAAGCAATAATGGATAGGAAGACCAGAAAAATAATGACAATGAATCATGCCCTTCATCCACGCAGTGACATTAACAGACTTTATCTACCAAGGCAAATAGGTGGGCGTGGAATGCTACAAGTACATCAGATGGTTGAAGAAGAAAAAATGGCTTTGGAAGAATATCTGAAGAACAATGATGAAGATGCACTGAAATTAGTATATCAGGAAGGCTTACTAACTACTGGAGAGACCAAACTGGCCTACAAGAAAGACCAAATGAAGAACAGAATAGAGGCATGGGAAGACAAAGCACTACATGGCCAATACATTAAAAAAATAGCTGGGAAAGCAGATAATAACAAGACCTGGCAATGGCTAAGAGCAGGAAAATTGAAGAAAGAGACCGAGGGACTAATTCTGGCTGCACAGGACCAAGCCTTAAGGACAAATGCATATAAAGTCAAAATTGAGAAGACAGCAACAGACAGTAAGTGCCGCCTATGCAAAGAAGCTGAAGAAACAGTGGACCACCTGGTAAGTTGTTGCAAGAAGATTGCATAGACTGACTACAAGCAGGGGCATGACAAAGTAGCAACAATGGTGCATTGGAAGATCTGCAAAAAATATCATTTGCCTGTAAGCAAAAACTGGTGGGATCACAAAATAGAGAAAGTCATAGAAAATGATAAAATTAAAGTGCTCTGGGACTTCAGAATTCAAACAGACAAGCACCTGCAACATAACACCCCAACTTAACAATTGTCGATAAGAAAGACAAAAAAGTCTGGATAGTGGACGTGGCAGTGCCTGGAGACAGCAGAATAGAAGAGAAAGAACTGGAGAAGATAACAAAATACAAAGACCTACAAATAGAAATAGAAAGACTGTGGCAAAAGCAAGCAAGGGTAGTACCAATAGTGATAGGCTCCTTGGGTGCAATCCCAAAACAACTGGAGCACCACTTGAACACCATTGGCATTGACAAATTCGCTATTAGTCAATTGCAAAAGGCGGCCTTACTAGGAACTGCTTCCATCCTGCGACGATATCTGTAATACCATCAAACATCCACATCTGCCTATCCCAGGTCCTGGGTAAGGACTCGATAGGTAGACAAAATGCCAAATCCAGTCTGAACATCTGGCTGACTGTGCGATGATCGATAATAATAATATAATAAAGTTGGAAGGGACCTTGGAGGTCATCAAGTTCAACCCCCTGCTCAGGCAGGAACCCTCCACCATTTCAGACAAATGGCTATCCAGTCTCTTCTTAAAAACTTCCAGTGTTGGAGCATTCACCACTTCTGGAGGCAGGTTGTTCCACTGGTTAATTGTTCTAACTGTCAGGAAGTTTCTCCTTAGTTCTAGGTTGCTTCTCTCCTTGATTAGTTTCCACCCGTTGCTTCTTGTCCTGCCTTCAGGCGCTTTGGAAAATAGCTTGACTCCCTCTTCTTTGTGGCAGCCCTGAGATATTGGAACACTGCTATCATGTCCCCCCTCGTCCTTCTCTTCGTTAAACTAGACATACCCAATTCCAGCAGCCTTTCCTTATATGGCAAGGCTTTTTTCAACCACTATTAGAGTGAAAAACATTTTTTTAAATTATCAAAAATACCAATGAAACTATGTGAATGTTTAAAGAGATGTTCATTCAGTATAAAAGGATGTGGTTTCTTTCTGATTCTATATTATATTGATTAATACAGCAACGATTTTTTAAAATATATATTTAGAATAAACCTCATGTTTGTTCTCCTGCAGTTAACTATGCCTAGCCCAATGCCAGAGTACCTGAATGTGCATTACATTTGTGAGTCTGCGTCACGATTACTTTTTCTTTCCATGCATTGGGCCAGATCCATTCCAGCTTTTCAAGCACTGGGGTAAGAATGTGCTTTCTTTTACTATTGATAAATATGCATTGAATGGAATCCACAATATATAATGGTTCTCAAAAATAAAAGTATGTCATTTGCTGTATTAAAGCAAATGCTGCGCAGGCAGTCCTTGACTCGTGACCACAACTGAGCCCAAAATTTCCACTGCTAAGCAATGCAGTTGTTAAGTGAATTGTTCCCATTTTACACCTTTTTTGCCAGAGTTGTTAAGCAAATCATGTGGTTGATAAGTGAATCTGGCTTCTCCCATTGGCTTTGCTTGTCAGAAGCTCCCTAGGAAGGTTGCAAATGACAATCCCAAGACCCCAGGACACTGCAAATGTCATAAATACATGCCAGTTGCCAAGCACCTGAATTTTGATCACATAACTGTGGGGATGATGCAAGTGTCATAAGCGTGAGACTCGGTCATAAGTCATTTTTTTCAGTGCCATTGTAACTTCGAACAGTCGCTTAACAAATAGTTGTAAGTTGAGGACTACCTGTGTTGAAGCTGCCTTGTCAAACTTCACATTTTTAGTTGCACAAGATATGAAAAACTAGACTAGATACATTTTTTGCAAATTTTCATTTGACTTTCAATAAAATACAAAAGAAAAATATTAAGCTCAAGTCAAAAAAAGAACAAGAATACACAAAAATTAAGCATACATTACCCATTAAATAGTTTTTCGAAGCAGAAATCAAATTATATGGAAGTCAATTGGCGTTATAAAATATGACATAAATCAAGGTGTGTAAATTGAATAATTAAGAAGGATAATTGCAGAAACTAGATCCAAAAGCAAAGTGCAGGGTGCCAAATTGCTAAACTGCTTATATGTCTTTTGATAATATAAAAACTATAAAATAATAATTCAGTCTGAAAAACATTTTAGCATCATTCATAACATTCCCATTAGAGATCTTTTCTGATAATATTTCTTTTTTTAAAACTTTTCAGAAGAAATAGCATAGTTTATCCTACTTCTTCTTCTTCTTCTTGTGCCATATCCGTTATCGGACATTGGCGATCATGTTGTAGTTGCTGAAATGTAGATGGAATGTATTTTGGGTTGTAAATAGTGATCCCAGATTGTAAAATATATCTTGAGTGTGTTAGGACTAAAACTAGGTTTTGATGTTATTTCTGGTGCTGGCCAAACTGTGCCAGAAATGTTTTGTCTGTGATCACAGAATGTTGTAAAGACATAAGAAAATAAGAATTCGTATTTTGGTGTTAGTGTTAGTTCAGGGAGAATAATCTGTGATGTGGACTAATCTGAACCGGGGGGAAATTATTCTGATAAGTGATATGAATGGATGGATGGGATTCAAATGATAAAGAGTATAGAAAAAGTGAGTGGATCATTTAGAAGCCCTGTAATGAATGGGGAAAATGATTGATAAATATCAATTTAGAAAAAATGTTTGTTTTGAGTACAGGTTTAAGCATATGTCTACTAAATTATGATTTATTTGATTGTTTATGATGAATGACTGGGAGAATTACTGAAAGACCCACGGGTAATGAGAGGCTCTGATGTGACACAGAACAATTTTGGATACTGTCAAGAGTGGAGTTTGGAAAAATAGACATAGAAGAAAAGGAAAGAAGTGAAATACATTAATCACTATAAGACAACTATAGGGGGAAATGTCCTGTATGAAAGAAAAAATATTAAAAGATAGTTTAACCTCCCATTAGAAACAATGGAAGATGGGCATAATATATTGAAAAGGATTGCATTACTGAGTTCCATAGAAGTGAGTATAGTTATGCTAACAGAAAGTATAGAAAGGGATTAATATGTTAAAATGTAAGAGAGGTGGTGGGTGGCTAGAACATGCTGTAAGAGACTGATTGTTGTAAACAAGAGGAGAAGGGGATACCAGAAGGATATTGTACAATGTGTATAAACAGAAAAAGACTGTTGTCAAGATTCTAGTCAAAGAGAACAAGAAACTACTAAGATGAAAAACAGAAAATGCAGAATAATTTTGAGGAAATTAAATTGTTTTATAAGTAAGTGAACAGGACTAAACAAGGAGCCTTCAGTAGAAATGAATGTAATTAAAAATAATTACATTAGACTAGAAGACTTCCAAGGTCCCTTCCAACTCTGTTATTCTGTTATACACACACACACACACACACACACATACACACACACACAGGAATTATAGTAATCTGTTAAAAAATGGAAATGAAACTAATATAAATTCAGCAAAATATAATGTGTTTGTGAAAAATGCATCTGTACCTGATATTGGGAAGATGCTATGCAAAGGGAAAGCTAGCAAGAGGTAAAGCAAAAAGAATAGGGAGGATTAGCATCATAGATGTTGTTAGGTGCTTGACAGTCAGCAAAATTTGAGAAGTGTAGCTAGGTGAGCAGTACATAGACAAACATTTGCTCTTCAACATATTCAGGAATGTGAATGTGAGAAAGAATGTTCTATGTTTATTACTTCAGAAAAAAGGTATGATAAAATCTGTACTTTTGTATGCAGACAATATGTTTTTTCTATTTTTCTATTCTTTCTGGAAGGAGAGATATAATATGTATCTATTTGTGTACTTGAATGTTTTTATGTATGAGAGTGATTTATATGTGACAATATAGTGACATATTGCTTACTATATGCAGATTAGGACCAGTTTATAAAGAGAGTACTATATCTTAATTTGCAGGCAGGCAGTTAATTCAAATCAGAAGTTATTAGTTTAATGTTTGGGGAGACTGATCCCTTAGAACAGTGTTTCCCAAACTTGACAATTTTAAGGCATGTGGACTTCAACTCCCAGAATTCCACAGCCAGCGTTGCTGGCTGTGGAATTCTGGGAGTTGAAGTCCACATGCCTTAAAATTGTCAAGTTTGGGAAACACTGCCTTAGAATGTGGCTACTGCTTCACATACTCATAAATGCACACACTGTTATGTACCATAAAAATATTTTTAATAGGAAAGGAAAATATCCAGGATATACCCCCATGTTGAAATGCAAATCTGGTTGCTTAGTCAGAACAACATACCAATTTTTATTCTGAAACAACCAGCAGATAAACCTCATGTTTTGCATTTTAATATTGGAGACGTTTTGTTTAAAACTTTCTTAAAATTTTGTTCTGGATGGGGATTAAGAAAACTTCACAGAGAAAATGTTGTTATACATTACTGAACAAAATCTCTGGACCAAAATTAGCTTGAAAGTAATTTAGTTAGTTAGTTAATTTTATATGCCCACATCTTGCTCTGAAAACATCTCTGGGTAGTAATTTAGTTATAAATTGGCTAGTACAGATTCAGATAGTGTTAGAATTATCAGATTTTTTTATTATTTAAAAAATAACAACAGTTCAGATGGGTTTTATCTTTATAATTCTCCCCATAGCAGCTTTATTTTTTTAAAAAAATAATTTTATTCACTTATTAACATAAGATGTTAAAATACAAAAGCAAATAGTTGGGGACAATGGTAGAAAAAGGGAAAGCAAAAGGTGTGAAGAAAGGGAGGGAAAGAAATAAAAGGCATTGACTTCTGACTCTCTTTGTTGCAGTAAAATCAGACATTAAAATCAAATCAACTTTTTACATTTCTATAGTAGTATGCACTAGCCATTTCTGTATCGGCAAATCAGTTTAATCGGTAAAATCCAAAATCATGATATCTTTTTTTTCCACCTCAAGCCCAAACCCAGAAGCTGTTTCCAAGTAGAAACAAAAGTACTCATGTTCTTTTCTTTTATCAGCACAGTCAATTTGACCATCTCAGCTAATTCCATCAGTTTTTGTAACCATTCGCCCATGGTGGGAATCGAGGCATCCTTCCACTTTTGTGCACAGAGCAATCTTGCTGCCGTCACCAAATATAAAATCAGAGTTCCAATTTTTTCCCCCAGTTCTCTTTTCATTAAGCCCAGAAGGAAAGTTTCTGGTTTAATCTTTATGTTCACTTTAAGAATTTTCTCCATTAATATATGAATCCCACTCCAATATTTCTTTGCCTTGTCCACCATAAATGATAAAAAGTCCCTTCTTTACATTTACATTTCCAACATTCATTTGAAATACCTTTATACATTCTAGATAACTTATCTGGTGTTAAATACCAGCAATAAATCATTTTGCAAAAACTTACTTTTAGGTTATAATTTAATGTGAATTTTAAACCTTTTATCCACATATTCTCCCATTGTTCAAACATCACATTATACCCAAAATTCCGTGCCCACTGAATCATACAGTGTTTTACATGTTCATTTCCCAAATTCAATTTTAATAATGTTTGATACACCTTGGCAATTATATGATCATCACTACCACATTTCCAATTCATTTTTTAGCAAACTCAAAACCATGGCCTTTTTTGTCTAGTTTAAATCTTTCCTTCATTTGTTGATATGTAAACCAGTGACAAGTGTGATCTTCTAATTCTAATTCTTCCCTAGACTTGAGGATGAGGTCTCCAGAATTGAAAAGTACTATTTTACCATATGTCCACCAGTCCCCATAGCAACTTTAGAAGGCTAATTCAGGAAAATCTCCTATGTTGAACAGAGGTGCCTTTATGATACAGATGCAATAAAAATCACATGTTGTGTATACTACCCATTATTCAGAGACACTTGTTTGCAGTTGATCTGCCTCTTCCTCTCTAAATCCCCAGGTCATTCTTACTTCACTTATATTGCTTATTAGACAATAAGAACAATTCGGGGACTTGAGACATTGCTAAATTTTGTTATATGTAAACTCTTTCTTGTTACAAGTGCTAACTGTACAGGAAGTCCTTGACTTGCAACAACATTTGGGACTGGGATTTTGGTCACTGATATAGTTGTTAAGCAAGTCATCATATTTTGGCCATTTTTGCTGTAAAGCAGTAAGTGAATTCTGTGGTCATTAAGTGAAACATGCAGATCATTAAACAAATCCAGCTTCCCCTGTTGACTTTGCTTGTTGGAATCCAGTTTCCCACACCTGGGAAAGTTGCAAAACGCAATCACCTGACCCTGGGGATGGTGCAACGGTTGTAACTTTTGAGGACAAGTCAAAAGTCAGGGGTTTTTTTTTTCAGTACCGTCATAACTTCAAATCACCATTAAATAAATGATTGTACATTAAGAAATTCATGTAATTGCTACGACTTAGGCAATGTCTTATATGGTAGAGTTTTCTTTTTTCTTTTCTTGATTCTTCTTTGGTCCATTGTTGTAATAAAGCCTGTCTATTAAGAAGTTACACAATAGTTTTGGTACTGTGCATTGTATGTTGAATAGATCAAAGGTAGGCAGTCCATGATCTAATAGAAGAGATTAGATGTAGCTCAGATACGATTTTTGAGTCCTTGGTGCTCTCTGAGCTTGCTACCTGACTAAGTAATATGTTCGGTGCTAAAAGGGAATGGAATTTGCATTCTGTTTATATATGCCATTGTTACTGGTAGTAGGGATATTGTTTTCTTCTTGGTAGTTCCTTGATTAGACTGTTGTTTACTGCTTGATTGTTTGGTGTTATTTGTACTATTAATTCCTTATCTGAATCTTGATTGCTAGAGAGGAGGTGTTCTGGTTTTTCTGTTTCTTTTTTAGCTTTTTTTTATTGTTTCCTAGGAAGCTTGGTATTCAGACAAGTCTGCTATCAACAGGCCCATAGAGATAAACAACATTTACACATCATTCAAAAGAGACTATAGGAACTTCCAACTCAGACAAACAACCAAGCAGTAAACAACAACCTAATCAAGAAACTACCAAGGAGAAAACAACATCCCCACCTACACTGACAGGGCAAGCTACAGTATATAAGCTGAGAGCAAACCCCACTCCCTTCTAGCAGTAAAGATGTTACATCTGCAACCAAACAACCAAGGTCAGAGAGCAGAAACGACTCCACACTCTAGGATCTAATTTGAGACAACCGTTGAAACTGGTTCATATCTGTGGATTTGTTTTTTATTTTCCCCTACTGTGTTATCTCATTTATTGAGAAAATATCAGAAATAGGTCCTGCCCATCATACAACCCACAATAAATTGCCCTCAGGGATTGCAGCTCTTAATAGAAAGAAGAAAAAAGATATTGTCTATCCCTGGCAAATACTAATGCTGATAAGAAACACCACATGATTGGTTTAGCAATCTTTGGGACCTACAATGCATTCAGACTGACAACAGGCTAGGAAGTAAGAAGAAAGAAATAAGCTGTTAGCTTTATTGAGCAAGCAGATTAGGATCTTACTCTTTGTCCTTTTGTATCTATGGGGATTTTGCTACCACTTAAAACTGAAGCCCTGAACATTGAATATTCTATTGTTTAGAGTAATGCAGTATTATTTTAGGTAATATTCTTCTTCATTTGATAATATAGTGTTATGAGGTATATTTTGTAAACCAGTGACATTTATATGTTTAACAAATATTTCAGATGTTTCGTATTACAATGTATTTAGTCTTATAAAAGTTGGGGGTTTAGTTTGTTGTTATTTATTAATTGTTTTCAGTGTTGTGTAGTCTTTATTGCTTCATTATCTTTTGAATTTTGATACTTTGCTTTTTTGTAATGTTCTTATAATAAAAAAAAGTTCATCGTTATAAATAACATTTGAATCTGATTTGTACCTTTGTTTGTTGGCAACTGTGTCACACGTTGGTGATCTTTTCAGTGCTAAACATCAGAAAACATGTTCCAGTTCTCACAATATTCCAGTATTCTTTATATACAAAAAATTATCCTGAGTCTTACCATTTGTTTTTATAACTTGTAGGCAAGACTGCAATACAAGCCTTGTGCGTGCCTGTTGGAATGAGCTCTTTACTTTAGGCCTAGCCCAGTGTGCACAAGTGATGAGCTTGTCAACTATCTTAGCAGCCATTGTCAACCATTTGCAGAACAGCATACAGGAAGGTATGTATTATTTTTAAAGGCTCTAATTGTTATAAATTCAAGGATTTATAACTGTATGTAGATGGTTTTTATTTATATATCACTCATATATACTTCTTTTCTGTATTAATGGAGTGATAGTGGTGTCCAATTTTAATTCCATTCCTAATGTTGCATTTCTTCCTTTGAGTATTAAGGTCAGTTATCTTCAAAGGACTAATCCAATTCTTAGCAGATGAGTGGGGGCAATCATATTCTATTAGAATATAATAAAATAATAGTTTATTAAACTTGTATGCCTCCCAGTGACCCTGGGCATCTGACAACATACGAAATTACAATAAGACCAATAAAAAAATAAAGCATGGCAAGTGTGATATACCAGATGCCGTGAAGCGAAGGGTCTCTCTCCCTCACACATACACCAAAGACCAGGATGAAGAGCCAGGTTCTCATCCATCTTCTCTGTCTGGCTCTTGGGAGATTCCTCTTTCCTCAGAATTTATTCACTAGAAATAGAAGATCTGGGGTACAATAGTTGTACAGCAATAGAAACAAAGAATCTGCCCAATATTTCCTATTATTTTATTCTCATCTCATATTTGGGATTAAGATATTCATATTTGTCACGACTAATAAAAACCCTGCATGCTAAAACTGTAATGCTATATTATTATTTAATTGCAGTGTATCATTATTTTTTTCTTTTGTAGAAAATTACGATGGAATCTATTTCTGGCTAATATACTTTGTTGTTTTAGGTTTAGAAGAATAAAAATAGCAGTTAATTTGATTTAATTTGTTAAATCCTTTCAAACTTAATTATAATAGACAGGTTCCGCCCCCCCCAGCCAGGCCCTCAAAAACAACACTACTGATGTAGTACCTCTGGTCAAGGAAAGAGGCAGGATATTCAGATGCCATGGAGAGGTAGGTGCCCTACGTTTGATTAAATGTAGGGCTCTAAGATTTTCCGTCATCCAAAGCTGGAGGGTATTCAAAACAGATTTGCATATGGAAACCAAAAATAGAACTATTATCCCTATTGAAAATAGAAGCTGTTTGATCTAATTGTGATGTAGTTAATTTTATCTTAAAAATAGCTTTTTATTGGCAACAGTAGGATATAATAATTAAAATAGTTCTTGCCTTTAGTGGAAATTAAAGTCTGATAAACTAAATAGTGTTATTATTACTACTTCTTAATTAAGAGTAATTAATGTTTTACATCCTGCTATTTACAGCATACTTAATCTGTAAACAATTAGGGTTTCTAAAATACAATGGCTGAAAAGACATGCAGAATAATTATTAATATAGGCAGAGGTAAAATATTTTAAGCATAAGTTTAGAAAGTAGCTTTTTCAATCCCAGAAGCTACATACATGTCAGATAGGCCCACTGCCACAAGTGTTATGTTCAACTTCTCTCTCTTTCTCCCTTACTGATGTGCATCGTCATGTACCACAGAATCAAAGAAGAGGGGGAAAGACCTTATCTTTCCTCCCAACAATATTTCTAGAGGTTTCTGTTTTTGATTATTCTCCACTTTACTATCAGCCAGTTTTGGGGAAAAAATAGATAGGATTTTCAGAGGTTCTATGATAAGTTAAAATACATTTGAAGACTTAATTGGCCACATAGGACATATGGAAATGCAAATATCACAGAACAGAAGAACAAGAGAAAAAACACTTCTTAGTGAGAACCTATCTTTTTATAAATCTATAGGATTTCAGTATTAATCTGTCTTTTGATAGAGAAATGTCAAAGCTCTTAAATTTATAGAAGTTAAGTTTTACTTCTCAAGTCATTTTTAAAAAGAATTGAAAGGGCAATTCTCAATCAGCAATGGAGTGAAGCACTCACGAACAAAAAGGATAAGTCTGTTCTATGGATGGAAAAGTCAAAGTTAGGAAAATTAAAGCCTTCCTGATTAATTCTTGCTCACTTTTCCTGTGCTGTGAATGTTGGTTGAATATAATTCCCATGCCAGTTCAAGAGGACAGATAGTTTACTGGTATTGTTGTTGTCAGATCTGCCTTTTTTGAGTCATTGTATCTTAGCTAATAGAAGCCTAACTTTCCACTGAGTTGTCTCAATGATTTCAGTACCATCTTGCACAAAAATGACACCTGTCTTTTCGGCGCAAGCACACGCTGCTAATCTGTACAGTACATATTACATTATATTTACACACACACACATATCAGGTCAGCATAGAAAATGCTTCAAATTCCTTGTACAATCTTTGCTAATTTGAACTGAAACACTATTACTAATATCTTTTTAGAGAACATTTAGAAAAGGGTGCCTTGGCAAGTGTTTGAACTTTATTCCTTAATAAAATATTAAGGAGCTTGCCCTTCAAGGCCTACTTTGAATTAATATAGCAGATTTATTGAATGTTGTTTTTAAACATCAATTTCTTGCCTTCTCCAGTCCCTTGTTCACTGACATTGAAAAGTTGGTTTGACCAGTAAATATATAGGATCAGTTGTGCCCATCTTAATCAAATCCAGATGTTTGAAAGTGTAGTACAAGTCCTCTTTCTCTAAGGGCAATGAAATTATTTCAGCAGCACTCTGCTTGCCATGAAGGGAATCAATTCTTTCTTGCCTGCTCAATTCTTCTCTGATTAAAAGATATCTCATGGCAATTCAAACTTCTCCTATTTGATCATTCTTTGGTTTACTTTCAGTTTTATCTCTATACCAACTCCTTTCTTTTACCATTGCCTACTGCTTGATTTTTCTTCATTGTCTGCATTCTTAACAAAAGGGTAAGTCTCTGCTTCTGCTTTGTTCACTGCAATTGAGAATTATAAGAATATGTAATTCAAACTATAGAGCAGAAAAAGGTTGTCAAACTGCTAATTCCATTTGAAAAAGCAACGATTTTTCTCAAATTCCATGGAGGAAATGTAATATGTGAAACTGCTATCTCAATGATTATGTCCTGAAGAAGGCTTTATTTTGGGTTTCCCAAACCTTTTAAGAGAACATATGTTTACTTCTAGATAAACTTTCTGGAGATCGAATAAAACAAGTGATGGAACACATTTGGAAACTCCAGGAGTTTTGTAACAGTATGGCTAAACTTGATATTGATGGATATGAATATGCTTATCTTAAAGCTATAGTCCTCTTTAGTCCTGGTAAGCATTTAATAATGATTTTATTTCAGTGTGTGTTTTTAATGTTGTTCAGATGCTCTAATACTCTGACACCAACTAAAGCAGTGTAAAGAAATTGTCAACACATTTTCTAATACATTTAATTTGAGATTAAAATATTTATTTTGACTGTTTAAATCTTTATTTCAGTGAGGCTTGCTGCTTAAATAGGATACTTAAATTTGATATATTAGCAAAATATTTTCTTAAGAGTCATATCTCGAGTGTTTCCTTTTATTTTTCTTTCAATGATTTGGCAAGCAGTTTCTGTGGTTAGAGCAAAATAGACCTTTGAATAATGTTTTCCAACTGAGTCCCAAACAGAATGTCATAATAAAGTGGATTGTAGTAGATGACCAGGTTGAGCCCAATGGAAGGATCAAAGTACCTTTGCATCTACCAGAGACTTAAGTCCAGCCCACCTTGAATTCCATTGATCCTTATCTACTGCCAATTTCCTATGACCGTTAATAGTTCAGATTCTTGTAGAAAGCTTAAGCTTGCAATAAATCCTTATATATAATTGAACTGCCTGGGTTTACTGATTTCTGCACTTGACATGGATATAATTTTCAGATTCTTACATTTACCTTTTTCTGTGCTAAAGTTAACACCTGGAAGTTATATTAGTTGGCCCCATTATTGATTTCAGCCTATCTGAGTTTTAAGGGGAGACACTGGTTGCAAGACTATTTATATTTCGCCTGTTAAAGAATAGTTAACATAACCATAACTGCTCCTAAGTGGTTAAAAAGATTCCTTGTCTTAATGTTTTTTTAATACAACAATCACTCCCAAATGGTGGGGAAAGTAAACGTCTACTACTGAAGATCTAATTTCCAATAAGCATTGAGAAATCCAAAAGTAAATAGGATTCCCTAGCCCCCAATAACTAGTCGACATGACAATTAATTATTAAAACACAAAAAACCACAACATAACGTTCTTTGTAAATCTGGCTCAAGGTATAGATTCTCTTGATGAGTTATACATGATTTGTATTGTAGAACAATAAACTAGCATTTAAATGTTTATTAAATTATTAAATAGATTCAATTATTTTCTTAATAAGTTGTAATTGAGCTACTATATATTGTAATAGATAATTACACTAAAATTGTTTTCTTTGAGGAATGATAATATATGGTCAGCAAGAGTGGATCCTGAAGGATTGATATGATCTCCTGCTAGTTACCAAATGTTGTTAATTTCTGATTTGCATACTTTTTGCATAGCTGTGCAAAAAATATGTGCTAGCTTGAAAACAAAACAGAATTGTTGGTAGATGATGGTATACATTATCTTTGAAATTTTGGAATAAAGGTTTTTTTAAAAAATAGTACTATATTTTTAGTAGTAAATAAACAATGAAATAATGTATTTAATTTTTAATAGATCACCCTGGTCTCACAAGTTCCAGCCAAATTGAGAAATTCCAGGAAAAAGCTCAAATGGAATTGCAAGACTATATTCAAAAAACTTATCCAGAAGATACTTACAGGTATTGTAATATTATGTGGTTGTTTGTTTAATTCTAAAGGTTTTTGTTTACTTTCTTTAGTTTTAAAGATTTTGTTTATTTGCTTTCATGTGATCTTTGTTTTCAGTTCCTAGATAATTTTTGAAATAGATTTTCATAGGATTGAACTATAAGTAATATATTTACTTTCAGTCAACAGACAATGAAAGGTCAAATGCTTAATGTTATATACCATGTTATTGAGTTATTGAATAAACTATTTACTGTTCAGAAATGAGTTTCATTAAATTCACTGGAAATAATTTCAAAGTATATATATATAGTATATATTTGAGATGGGACCTGTCTCTCAGTTTAACTTCAGGATATTACATTTACAGATGCTACCACTTGAGCCTTGCTTTCCTCCATAGTAAAAAAGGTAAAAATAGTTCTCAGTTTATGACCATTGATTTAATGACAGTTCAGTTTTAATAGCCTTAGAAAAAGTGTCTACAATCTGAATAATGAGTCCTGGTTTTTTTATGCATCATTTAAGTTAGTAGATTTTAGATACCTTGATTCAGAAATTGTGATAGTATAATGTACCATGTGGACTAACTCAGAGTTATAAACAGATGAATACAATGAGAGTTTTATTAGGTTATAGGTAGATAATAATATTGGCACCTACTGTCATGCCTCCATCCGAGCCTGACTCTGAGGATGACATGGAGTTCCCTGTTGAGGCCCAGGAGGGGGGTGTCTATGGCTTTGGAGGACTGTGGGGAGGAACAGGCTGAAGCAAGCCAGGGCCCTTCAAGTTTGGAATAGGGAAGGCAGAGCTCAGGCGAGGAGCAAGGCCCCTCCCCACCAGATCCCAGAGCAAGGAGAGCAGAGAGGAGGAGGGAACAACGGAGGCAGGCTCACTTGCTCGGGAAGAGAACGTCACGCCCCACTCCACAAGGCACACCTGGGGAGTAGGTATTTAAGGAGACGCTGTGGGGTGGGGCATTGCCGGGAACAAATGTGAACTCTTGTGATGTGAGCTCTTGTACCTGGACTCTTTGTATTTTGGATCAAGTTTGTTTCCTGCTGAGTTCTCCTTGCTGTCCTCAATTTTGCAGTTTGCAGGTTATAGGCAAGCTGGGCGTGGAAAAGATCATACTTTGTTATCTGTTTTACTTTAAAGAACTGTTTAACTCCATTGACTGTTTTATTGAACTTGTGCCAGCATATGTGGGGGCTATTGGGTGAATGTTGGCAATGCTTACAAAGACAATTATTCTGACCAGTTAAGTGCTTTGCCTCCGTTCCGGGCCCTGGGTCATCACACCTACTCTGGCAACTTTCTGGAATGTTCATAAAACAGTACTTTGAATTATAATATGTTGCCATATAGACTAGGGTTGGCATAATAATTATTACTATTATGTTATGATACTATTAATATTTATTTCTATTAATAGCAAGTATTAATATTACTTGTTTTATTGATTTTTATGTTTGAATTGGATTTTACTGTAGTTTTATTTTATTTGTAGTATAAAGGACCATGAATCAGTTGATTGGTAGCACATAAAAATATTTAACAAATAAATATTGAGATGCGGTAGTTGCAAGCCTCCTTCTGTAAGGATCGTGAAAAAGAACGTTTGGAGAAGCCCTTTATTGTGCAACCAATCAATATCGATACTGAGACCCACATGCCTTGCAGTTTAGGGTGTTTATCAGATTTGGTTCCAGTGGTCTACTTCTGAGAATCTGAACCCTCCTGAGGCTTTCTGCATGATTCAGAATTTTGAGGAACATTGAGATATATGAGTTATGTAATGAGTATATTCTTTCCCAAACTCTTCTTGAAGACATACTCCAGGTTAAAAGGATAAGAGAGTTTGTAGTTTTGTAACTTTAACTTTTAGCCATAGTGAGTAATAATTTTTCATGATCTCGTTAGCCAAAGTATACAAATCAAATGAAATGCTTAAGTATCACAGTGATACAGGTAAATTGAGCCTCATTTTTACATGTACCACTGACTTTCTTATTTCAGGCTAGCTCGAGTTCTAGTTCGCCTGCCAGCTCTTAGACTGATGAGCTCCAGCATTACAGAAGAACTCTTTTTTACTGGCCTCATTGGAAATGTTCCAATTGACAGCATCATCCCCTACATCCTGAAAATGGAAACGGCAGAGTACAATGGTCAAATAACAGGATCGTCCTCGTAGAAGGAATCAGCTCATCCTGGTGGACCTGAATGCTAATTTACTGATTCCTTGGGATAAGGTGTACAAATATTTTCAACACTTTTCATTTTCTTGTTAAAAATTCTTTTATTTAAAAACTAGGTTAAAAAAACCTACAGTACTTTTTTCTAGAGCAGAACAAATATTTGAATTTCTTTTCCTGAAAGGCTACAGTGAATTGATAAACATGTCTTTAATATGTCTTTTTATTTAAGCATTATCAATGAGCGCACTGTAGCTTCTCTTCTCTTATGACAGAGTACTCATTAAAAGGAAGTATATTCAGAACTTTAGCTTGGATCCAAAAGGCTCCAAGATATCTTCTGCAAAGGGACTGCCCTCCCCCCCCCATTGCAGCCCTTATTCTCTTCCCCCTCCCTCCCAAAAAATTGCCACTCCAGAACAGCATGAAGCATGTCATGCTATAGTTTGTTGGAGAAAAAAAAATGTTTACAAGATTCCTTTGAACAAACAGAGGGCTTTGCTGGAAATGTACTTTGAATTCAGTCCATATTGTGTGCATACATGCTCACTCACACACATGCGGATAATTTTAAATTAGCAAGATGTAGGAATGGTCAGCACTTCCAAATAATGTTTTATGAAAGTAAGACGTTACCTTCATAATCCTGCTTCTCTGAATAAAATAAATGAATAGCATTTTAATTACAAATGTATACTAATGATTTCTATGAAAACTTACAGCCATGACAGACAATCATTTATGCTACAAAAGTTTTAATTGCATATGTTTATTAATACCATGATTCTTTTAAGGAAGTTTGAATTAAATTCTGCTAAACGAATAGAAATGCTTATAGCATAGGAAAAGCATAATGTTTATGGCTCAACTGTAAACTTGATAGATTCTATAAAAGTTATTTCCACTGAAAAATAGCACACTACTTATAGTGAGGCACCTCTGAGAATTTTAAGATGTTTTGTGTTTGTTTGCCAATAGTTTTGTTTTTTTTTAAAAAAAAAAATTGGGACACATCCATCACTTTAAGTAAGAACCACATGCCTTTTATGGATAGATCAACTTAAGAAACAAATTTCATACTCATTCCTTCTGAGAATGACTCATTCCTTCTAGGAAGACTGACTTTGGCACAGTTCTAAGATCACTAAATTAGTGAGGAATCTATTGATTACTGAGATGTTGCTTTTCTCTGGCAAAGAAATCCTACAATCAGTTTGGAGCATTCCAGTAACAAGTGGTTCAATATTCCTAATGATCTGCCAAAACAGTCTTAGAAAGGCAGGATGAAAGCAAGAAGGAGCTGTAGTAGTAGTAGCAGTGAAAGGGAATACACATAGACCAGGGGTTCTCAACCTTGGCAACTTTAAGACTTGTGGACTTCAGCTCCCAGAATTCCTCAGCCAGCTTAGACATAGACTAACTTCTATGCCAGCCCCTGACATAGACTAACTTCTGGGCTTTCGGTCAATGTTTGGCAATGTGGCAGAGGGTTCAGCTACAACAGATCCTGGGTTCTGCCTAATCTGGTCACCAGAGTATGGTACAATATCACAGCAGGGAAGCTTCTTATAGTCCCTACAACAGTCCTCCATGGAACCATCAAGTTGTATTCTAAGAATTCAGATTCTAATTCATTCATTTTCTCACAGCCTGCAATCCAACTTATGTTCTGAAACATATGACATCATTTCTATAGAAATGGTGTCCATCGTATAGAAAAAAAAGATTTATTTATATTATACTCTTATCTGTTTTCTCAATGTTGCATATGTCCTGGAATTATTCAGAATCTGATAAGAAACCACCTGGAGTCATGGTACTAAAAATGCCATGTACAATGAATGATCTGTCAAAATATTAAGGCTGGCCAATTCTACTTGTATGCAGTACTGCTTTTAGATTTCATATTATATTGTACAATACTTCTGTATTTCAAATCACAGTTGTAATTTTTATTTCATACCTGTATCACTTTTTTTTCAAATTGGCTTTTATATGAAAACATATTTCAACAAGTGTGTCATTTATACTCATTTTTAAGTATATGGGTGGTTTCAGTGAGCATTTTAGTAGAGGCATTTTATAGTGGTTATTTTATAGACTTTAATAGACGCAGGTACCAATGAAGAATAAGAAAGGTTAGTACAATTTAATAGATGAACAGGCCATTGCATAAGTAATGTAGTCTTACAGTTCTCTTTCCTCAGAAAACATCACTGAGCTCAGTGGTGCTTACTTCCAGTATATGTTTATACTGCATAATTATAATTCATTCAGCAAATTCCTAGGTATACTCAAATCTTTTATATTTACCATTCTTTCATTAACTTCAACTTAATTCATAAAACACTGTGACACAGAAGCTGAGTTAGCATATTCCCTGATTTTGCTTAAATAGGAACTTAACATATTTTGCACTGGAAATACATTCAGTAGGACTATGACTATAGATGCATTGTAAAGTACTAGAAAGCTAGCTGTAGCTGTTATATAATATGTGTAATACTATATTTTTAAAGTAGCAAGATCAGTTGGAAATAGAATTCTGTCTGTCCTGGATCATAGCTTTAAACTAATTACAGGCCAAATTTATAAAGTTAAAAAATTGGATGAGGAAATAGTAAACAACTGAAATTATGGTTTAGCTCAATTTTTATGAAATCTGCAGAACAAATTATGTACACTATTTTTATTGTGAAAATTTATAACGCTAATATATATTAATAGATATTGTTTTACATACTATCCTGGTTGGTATGGTGACATATATATTTTTAAAACTATTAGAGTATGTATAATATTTAATTATGCATATCTAATTTAAAATGTGCAATTTGAATAATATAAAAATAGTATAGTTTTAAAAATAAGTCAATGCAAAAAAAATAGTTTGCTGAATTCTGTATCAGGTTAGATCCTCCACAAACCATTAATAAGATATTAATTTCCTTCTCTTGTATTAAGTTGAATAAAACTAGTTTACATCACTTGTTTTACTGATCTAGAATTTGGATCAAGCCAAAATACATTTTAAATAGCACTATTTTAATCACATTGAGATGCAATATTTCAATTATTTTGCATTCTTTATTTATTTACTTCCCATCTCACCTAGCTAGCATATTATTATAGAAATGTTTCTCCAGTTTTTCATTGTCATAGTAGAGATACGTAGTAGATCTCACAACTACGGTAGGAATGATTTTTATATTTATGCTTTGCACTGTGCCCAAAACACCAAGCATTTTTTTTTTTACTTTTAAGTTTGGGAGAAGATATTGTATAATGAACTCTTTCAACCTTTTTAAACTTTTATAAGAGCACTAGAAAGTTTTCGAAGCCTCTAGAATTTATACTTCCCATTTTCAAGGAAGGAAATGCTGCATCAGAAAAAGGACATGCAATATAGGCCATCCTTCATCTTGCTCAACCTGTTGGAATATGTTTTCTGAACATAATCTTCTTTTTAAAAGTGTAATCATTACTCTTCCTTATGCGCACACTAAAAACGTCTCAGTGTGTTTGAAAGAGTTTTGCTTTAGTTTTTCAGATGGGAGCAGCTGCCAGTATACTTCGAGAAACAATATTGATTTGGGTGCATGTAGAAAGAAACACGACTCTGCACTGAGAAACCATTATTCAGACAGAAAATAAAAATTAGTCTTTTGTTTCCCTGTGTTGGAATCGATTAGGTTCTATCCAATATCACAGAATAGAAGTTACTCTGCTTCTCCTTTATTTGCATTTTCCAGATCTGCTTTGGAGTTCTGCAGATCTTCTACAGCAGATTTGCAGAGCTGCTTTGAGAGAATGAATGCTGTGTATTCCCTGGGCCGAGATATATAGTTTGGTCAGTGGATAATTATTCTTGGGTCACGTTATCAGTGAAAGCAGTGGAGGTTTGCCTAGTTGGTGTCATATAATCCTGACCCTTTGTAATTTGAATTTAAAATAATTCTTGAAGGATGTTTTATCATGAAATCATAGCACTTTTAAAATTTGTCAGTAAGAGGACATTTTAATGTAATATCTATTTCTCTGAAGGTGGATATTTGGCATGATTACTGTTACCAAGCACACTTATTTGAAAGCAAGTTCTCTCAGATTACTGAGATTTAAATAAGCATGTAAAGGATCTGCATTTAAAAGACATCCTGAGGGGATGATCTGTTGATAAATTGGATTTAGGAATTTTAATTTATTTCAGTGGACTTGGACATGCATGACAATAAAACTAAAGTCTCCTTGCTATGGGAGAACCTATATGGCAGCTGACAAACCATTAAATAATACAATTTCCTTGAAGATTAGCTTGTATTGAATTAGATAAAAGTAAAAATCGTAATTTTAAGTATGCATCCTTAAGTGGGTTTTATTTTCAAAAATAATTAGGTATGTCATTTAGAGTTGAGTTCGATTATGCCATATAACAGGAAAAGAGATTTTTAAAAATCTTAAAAAGACTTGACCAAGCTCTTAAGCGCAATCAAAATAGTGCTTTGGATGCTGGCCATATTTATTTGTTTGTATGATGTTTATGTGTTAGTTTCTAACATTGTTCAGTACATGTACAGTGTAATATAAAATGTTTATGTATGTATGTAAAATTATGTACAGTCATACTCATATATATATATGTATACACCAGATTTCTATGTTAAAAAAAGATTTATAAATGCATTGCAAAGCTTGAGCTTCCTACATTTTATATTTAGTTCAAAGCTTGATATAAACATATGCCTCCCTCTCCTTTTTCTCAGTAGGGTGGGCTGATGTTTTTAAACCTAGGATGTAATTGCACTTTGTCTTATATACTGAAAGAAATTATCTAATAGTTCCAATTTTATTTGTTAATATTCAGAAGCCTAGCTGAAAATTATGGAGATTGTGCAGTGACAGTGGTGGTGAACTGTGGACCATAAACCTTTCTGTATATTCTCAATGCCTGCAAAAGAGGCTGTTTGTATTTTTTCCTGAGCTTTTCTTTTGTATAGTTGTCTTTTTCAGCATATACATTTTGATCATTGTATGTTTTAATGTTGTCATCCCTTCCAAGTTGATGATTAAAATGAACAAGGCTGTCACACAACAGATGAGTCTTAATTTTATATTGTTAAATGAGCATAAGGCAAAACGCTGTGTCATGAATGCACTAACTGATTCAGATATGATATCTTCTACTTCTGCTTTTCTTTTTTGAGGAGAAACTGGCAAAAATGACCATCTTAAATTTTAAGTTTTTGAATGGACAAATGGTATGAAATGCTACCACTTGTAATAGCATCTCCTATCACTTCATGCTACCAGTGAAGTCTTGGAGGATGTTTTCAAGTAAGCTCTGAAGGGGGCGGAGATGTTGTCAGATCATTTGGCCAGAAGTTGCATGTAAAACATTCAGTGATGCTATACAATGGGCTCCATAAATAACAATAATTTTAATAAGGGAGAAGTACCGGTACTCCTGTATATAAGCTCTATACTGGGAAATTGTACTATATGGAAAACTGCATTTTTTTCTGTCTTTCTTGAAAATTCAGATAGTTTGCAGTGCATGGAGAGGCAGGGCTTGATGGGAAACTTGCATTTTTTCCCCTTTTAAAACAGCTTTTTTCTTCCATACCTTGACAACTACTTCCAAGTATGGTTAAAGAAGAGGGTTGAAATCCTGCTCTCGAGCATTGTGAAGATCACTTTTCATGGAACCATATAGAGAAAAATTGTGAAAATGAATGCTGCTGATAAAGTTACATATAGTATGACATTTGCCTAATTGGGCACTTAAAAGACCTGAGTTGTAACTGAAAGTCTATTTAAAAAAATTGTCACTGAAGTAGGATGCAATTCTGAGGAATTCCTAAATATTTTTGAATTTATATTTCTGTTTTCTAATCTGTTTTAATCATTTTTCTTTGTTTTAAAACCATTTTTGGCTAAAAACATTAATTTTAAATTTATTGAAACTAAAATTCTTTGGATTCATTTAAATCCCATTTAAAATCAAATAGAATTTTTCCATTTCTAGTTGTTCTCTGAAAGGTTAAGAAAAATATTAAGAGTTTTTGCTTATTTGAAAAGCTTGCTTGGAATGTGTGTAAGAGATGGCATTTCTCATTCACTGGAAACAGAAAGAAATCAAGAATTGTAGGGGATCATGCTGATATTGCAGCTCAGACATGATAGCATTGCCAATCCTATTTACGCAATGCAGGAGTAAAAGCAAATACATTGTTAAAAGAGTAAAAGTAACTTGGTACTAGAAATACAATACTGATTTCATATTCTATTCAGTTTTTTAAAAAAACCAAAACTCCAAACCAACAGTTGGATAAGTTTTACTTGTGTATTATCCAAAAGATAACAGCATACAGTGCCTTATTTTCTTTTGGTATCCGTAGAGTTTATATTCTGAAACGGCTTCCATAATTACGTACTAAGTATCATGTAAAGCCATTGGTCTCAACAGTTTTATAGTTGAAAAGTAATACTTACATTTACAAATTGTAAGCATTTGAAAACTCCCTCAAACATTAAGCTTGTATTAAAACTAAAATATTTGCCATAAAAAGAATTGTGATAATATCCAGGGTTATGTTTTATAGCCCTGTGCTTTAATTTTTTTATTTAAAAGTGTACTTTTTTAGTTCAGGTTTAAAACCTGTTGCTTCCTCTCAGTTTCTTTTGTGAAATCAGCTTGGGAAATTTCATGACATTTTAAGTTTTTTTTTTAATCTTAACTTTTGAATCCAATCAATGTCTTCAGTCTGGAAGAGAAATTTGCATTGTTGTGTGTGTATATAGAGAATTGCAATGCATGCTTATGCATTTTATTAAATGCTGTCTAAATGTTTCCTTACATTGTTGTGGCTTAATGTTGCAGTCTACAAGAAATTTATACTATTACAATAAATAAAGACACTTATGCAGCTTTTGACTTCCTCCTTTTATTATTTTTGTTAATATTCACGGCAGTTAATTAGGACCAATGTGGCATTTTGTTAACAGTATAAATTCTCCAAAGTAGTATTCTACACCCCTCAGCTGGTTTTATCCCAGAGTTCCTCCTGCAGAACTGCCCATCTTGCTAAGCAGTAAAGAAGTTTTGAGAAAGGGTGTGAGTTGGAAATAAAGGAACAGCTCCTGCTTTGAAAAATCAACCATCTCTACTGGTGTAAGTCTTTAGATTTTCAAGTGTATTCTAAAATAGCATTTGGCTTTAACTGAGCTTAGAAACTCAGTAGAGCCAGCTTGATTAGCATGGGCTGACTCCTGTAAAGATATTAGGAATTCTATTCTGCATTGGAAATTAAGATACATCTTGGGAGGAAACCAGGGTAAATTTCTTCCATATTTTTATTAAGAAAATCATCCCTATTTACCCCATAATTGAGGTCAGCTCCAGAAGATCTTTTCTGTAGCGATGGATCGATTCTTGTCAGATAAATATCCCAACTGCAGGAAACAGCACACTAGAGCTCTTTCTCCAATTTATCCGTACAATTAACTATGGCTAGCTACCACAGAAGATGGCTGGCCTCGAGTCATCCAATTAACTTCTGTGGCTGAAATGCGGACGTGGTTTCCTCATCCCCAGTTCCACGCTGGATTTACTGCATGAAGCAGAGTCTGAGCTGCGACTTAATGAATTGGGAATAATCATATTTTGGAGGAAAAAAATCTGTCTTTACCGTTATCGTTATGGCTTATTCTTGTAAGAGAAAACTGCCTTTTTCGCAATACCTGAACAAAACTTCAAATGTACAAGGTGTCATACGATCCACATGGCTACCTGTTAACGCTCCAAAACACTTGCGATGAATACTTAAAAAATTTCTTACGTCTTGGGGCGATTACAACCTATAAAGCGGCCGTCAGGATGCGATACCCAACTGTACATTGGGGCTATCACATTTAGACTGCCAATCTAGTGATTTTTGCAACCCAGCCTTGGTAGCGCTGGCCCGTCTGATTTCTGCTCGCGCGCCATAGAACCAGATACTTGTCTCTTCCTGGATTCCTCCCTAGAAAAAAACTACACTTCCCATGGCCCTCTGCGCCCATCGACTCTTCCTCTTTCTACGGCACTTTCCGTGCGAAATTAGAGACTGAGCCGGAAGCCGCTTTCTCCAGGGTTTGCGCGGGCTTGCTGCTGCCTTTGCAGTCGCGGTCATGCCTATGAAGGGCAGGTTCCCTATTCGAAGGACGCTGCAGTATCTGAGCCAGGGCGACATCGTCTTCAAGAACTACGTGAAGGTGATGACGGTGAACTACAACATGCGCGGAGAGCTCAGCGAGGGCGCCAGGTGAGGGTCGTTCTCCGCTCGGGCGAGGAAGACCCGAGCCTTTTAATGGCTTTAGCCTGCGGAAGGCTGTGCTTTCCTTCAAAGGGGGAGCACCGGGTGTGGGCTGTAAAACAGCGATGGTCGTGGGAGATATTGGCTGCTTATTTTTGCAACCCAGATACAGTAGCCCTATTTTAGGTGAACATTGCCTAGAATTGCCTGCGGATACGGGCACGTTGGATTCACGATCTGATCTATAACAGGAGGTACCTTCAAACTTGGTAACATTATGGCGTGTGGACTTCAACTCCCAGAATTCCCCAGCCAGCATGGGAATTCTGGGAGTTGAAGTCCACAGGTAGTAAATGGGTCCATAGTTGCTCACCCGTGCCATAGAGACTGCATAGTTTCAGTTTACAACTGTTCAAGTAATCATGAAGAGCTAATGGAGGGGTAGAAGGAGAAGAGAGGTGAGACCATACTGCCTCTTAATTCTGCCCAAACTAATGTGTTCTGATGAGTGTGCATGTGTGTATCTTTAGTTTTGCTGCAACAGATAACAAGCTTTCTGAAATGAGATATATTCCTGTGCAATATAAGTCACACTCCAGATGGACAGAATCACTCAAAATCTAGACTGTTGCACCTATTCAACTGCTTGTCTTTCAAAGAGGTTAAAAATTGAATACCTTGCACTCATGCTTGCTTTTGTTTTTTACCATAGGAAATTTGTGTTTTTCAACATACCTCAGATTCAGTACAAAAATCCTTGGCTGCAGATTGTGATGTTTAAAGACATGACTCCTTCACCATTCTTAAGATTCTACTTGGGTAAGTAGAACATTTGTCTGATTTCCCTGCAGCTCTTGATGAGGTGGACTAGAATCTTGCTTACGTGCCCCTAATGGTAGCTACCACATGGGAGAAATCCCTAATATTGTCTACTGAAAGAGGGAAATGGCTCGTGTCTTCAAAACTTTCTAGTTGACGTACCTAATTGTTAATAGAACTCTGTAAAATTGCCAGTCTGAGCTGTAATAGTTTGTGTTCAATGCTAGTAAACGAAGTGTTTGTATTCTAACTTCAGAGAATTTTGTTTCCCTTAGAACTACAATCAATAGTTTATCTTTAATATTTATTCCAGATTTTTTTTTAAATGGCCCTTTATGTAGAGGTTTGAGGGAAGAGGTAGTAAAGAACTACAATGGAGACTTGGAAATATACAGATGTAGATGGAATAAGCTCTTTAATCTTTCTATCTTGTACTCGTTAAGGACTGGGCAGAGAAAGTAGATAGTTTGACAGTATACTAACTTTTCCTTCTCACTGTCATGTTTTTAAGACCTTTCATTCATATCGAGATGATGTGGAATTGAACTAGCACAGGCATGGAGAACTTAGGAGCTTTCAGCTGTTTTGACAGTTACAGATGGAAGTTATTCTTGCAGATGTTGGATAGAAATGAAAGAGTCCAAGTCATGTAGATATAATAAACGTAAAGCCCATTTATAAGAATATTAGGCTGGTAAAAATATCATAGCTATTCCCCCACATTTCAAGACATAAAGAATCCAAAGAATTTCCATAATGTCTTGGGGTTGGTTTTTTTTTTTCATTTATTTATAGGTTTTATTAATTTTTAAAAATTACAATATTTAAAGTTTAGTAAACAACACATCTGGGTTCACATATTTAACATTAACTTCTTCAATATAAATCTATTCAGTACTGCACAATCCAGTATTTTTTCCTTGATTTTCCTTCCCCATATTTTTCCCTTTTCCCCTCGTTAAACAATTATAATTCTTAATTCTATTGATATATACAAAATTAGGTGTAAACATCTTCATCATATTTTACTAATATTATAGAAGTAATATCAATTCATAAGTCAACATCCTGTTTTTCGTGGTCTTATTAAAGTTTGATTTCCCATCAATATTTAAAGTATCTTTGTCAGTTATAATTTTCTCTATATTAATTACATTTATATAGCTAAAAAAATCTATTTGTACCAATCCTCTTATTTTCAAATTTCCCATATCAGAAGAAAAAAAATGCTATTTTAATTTTAAATCATATCTTCCATTATAAAAATCTAGTTATATCTAAGGATCATCCATTCATTTAATTATATTCAATCAAGTATATTAAACAGATAGTGGCCCTCTGATAGATCAAATCCTCTGTTTTTTAAATCTAACTCTTTCTTTCTTTCTTTGCCAAGCAGCTTTCCAGGCCACGGCAATTAAATTTTCTATTTTTGTGCAAGGTGCTTGGCATGAGAAAGACAATTTAGGTAGAGAATTTTATGGTGGGAACTCCGCCCATCAACATTCCCTAGACATTTCCCCTGCCCGCTCTATGTTCCATTTTTTTAGAATCTTCTTCCTTGTCATCAGGTGTATTTTGGAAAAAGGAGTAAAGGATTTTTTGTATGTTCATTGTTATAGGTAGGTCTTGGAGTATTTTATTTGTGTATGGCAGTCCATATTTCTCCTATCTCCTCCATCTCTAGGTCTATTTCTTCTGCTTCACCCTCTGATTTCTGGTTTATTTGTTCATACTTTGTAGTTGTTGCATGGGAGCTTTCCAGTTGTAGCTTCAATTTGGAGATTTGGTCCTATATGTCATCTAGATTATTTTTAGTCTTGTTATGGTTTCTTTTATATCTTCTTTATGTGCAAGAATTGTTTGATGAATTTGCTGTAGCATAGAGAGTATTTCCTTCTGAAAGGTTTTTTTTTTTTTTTGAGGCATCATTCCTAGAAATCCTCTAGTAACACCAGTCTCAGTAAGAGTGGAATAGAATTTCCTCTAGTTTTCTGGTCTTTATATATAGCCTTTATAATCCAGTCCTAATAGCAATATTTTATAGTAACCCTTTGTCTCAAGTATTCTAAAAATTATCAGTCAGGCAAGGTTGTAATCCACAATGTTCCCTCCCTGCAGCCAAACGTATTCAAAAATCAAATTTTTCTTTCTCTCCCACTAGTTCTTGAGATTAAAAGTTAAATCTCAGTAGGTATTTATAATCCAAGAAGGTCAGGATCATAAACATGCAAAAATATTTTCCTTTATTGCCAGCTGTTTTCCCTTAAGCTGAAATTCACCAAGCAGCCAACGAGCTAGTTATAGTGCTGTACTTAAATCCACTACTAAATGTCATTCAAAGTCCATTTTCCACTCTTAAAACAAAGGGTTGATTTCTTATATTTCTTATATTTCACCTCAATAATTTTTTTTCCAAAGAGAAAATCTTTAACAATTTATCTCAGTTCTCAGATTTATCAAAACTGTAGCTTTGTATTACTTTCACTTCAGTATTGTGTATTTCTGTCCCCCATAAATTTAAAACGCTGCTTCCATTCACATCCGGAGGTCTTAAGCTTCTTGGGAGTCTTTCCCATGAAATTCAGTTATAAAATAGTAAAGAAAGGATCAATATTCTCACCCAGTCCAAACATGCTGTTTACGGTGTGCTAATTAAAGCTTTTGTTCTTCGGTTGTCAGCAGCTAATGGCCAGCCGCAGAGATGTGGCCAGTCTTTCCCCTGCTGGTTTAGAGGACTTTCCTTGGATCGAATGGAGAGACCACCATCTCTCTGGAATCGACAAGGCACCCCTCCTTCTTCATCGCCTCTTTGGGGCTACTTCAGCCCTTTTCAAGATCCCCAGCAGGGTGAAATCGGGCACGGAAGGCAGAGCTCTGCTTTCCTGCGTCCCATCTTGCCGCAGCGCAAAACCGGAAGTCTGTGACTTGGGGGATTTCTTATGACATGCACTCTTAATAATAAATGGCTGCCTGCTTGTATCTTAAAATCTGTAGGATATGCTCATCTAATTGTCAATGGATAACTCAATGGAGTTTTCTCTGCTCTGACACAATAATTGTGGAAAATTCTCCCAATAAAATTTACATCTGGCATCAATATTATAGTCTCTTGGTACTAGATGAAGTTGCTGTGGCATTTTATGTTATTTAATTCTGTCCCACTGAATTTACTTCCCCTTGATTGGGGAATGTTTTATTATTGTTGATGCATTGTGTATTTATGTGGTTTGTATTTATTATACATTGTGCTGGAAGCTCTGATTATGGTGGTTTAAGAATCCATTTAAACCATGGATTTCCAACTTTTGGCTTGCCTGGGCCATATTGAGTGAAAAGGAATTGTTTTGGGTCACATATAAAAATCAATATTGAGTTTCACTATTGTTCAGTCCATTAAAAGTGGTGCATTAAAAGTGATGCCCCCTGTATTCCCAACACAGGGCCAAAAGGGGAGATGATGCAGCCTTTGGGCAGAAAAAAATCTAACCATCTTGCCTTAAAATAATTGAATTTTTTTGAGAACAAGTGGCCACTTACAATGTGTTACGATCAACTAGAGTGGGGATCCAAGAGTGGCATTCAACTCTGGAGTCATTGGTGGCTTAAGTATGCTCCTTCTGTCTTTTTAAATTCTTAACTATGTTTTTCAACTTTGTCTATTTTTGTATAGATTTTTATGATGTTTATTTGTAAAACATGCCTGTCACTTAGATAGGTGAGATAGATGGCATGTACATTTGATAAATAAAGTCACCAGGGCTGAATAGTTTCACGTATGAATGGTTTGCCGAGTTACCTCTTGTCAAAATGATCGTGTGTGTATTTTTGTATGAGAGATGTGCCATATCATGGAAGTAATTTTGGGAAAACCCAATACTCTGTATGTAATACTATTTCTCCTGCAGATACTGGAGAGCAAATCTTGGTTGATATAGAAGAGAAGACTAACAGAGAGATAGCAGAGCATATTAAGAAAATTCTTGGTAAAAGCGAGTAAGTCACAATAACCAGGGTCATCATGGAATCAGGCTTCAGTTCTGCCTGTATGGGGAAACCCTAGGTCAGTGGTTCTCAACCTTTTTAATGCTGCGACACCCCCCCCCCCAACCGGTCGTAAGTCGAGGACTACTCAATCGGTTGTAAGTCGAGAACTACTCAACTGGTGCAGCACCATTTGCAGAATGGGACTTTTGGCGGGCTCAGCAGGGCAGAGACAGCCTGGACAATTCCTATTGGCTTTTGAAAGCCAATAGAATTAGACTCTATTCAAGAGAGTCTATTCTATTGGCTTGCAAAAGCCAATAGAATAAAAGGGAGTAGCACAGCTAAGGAAAAGGGGGAAAAATGGCGGACTGCATTATTTGGCGACCCCTGTGAAATGGTCGTCCGACCCCAAATGGGATCCCGACCCACAGGTTGAGAACCACTGCCCTAGGTCTATTTATAAGACTTATAAGTGCAAACTTTTCTATTTACTCATTTATGGATTAAAAAAGTAAAGCAGGGAAGGACAGCAAAGCTTCCAATCCAGTATTATTTTTGATGAAAAACTGCATTACTTTAAATCAGTAGGCCTACAGAAGTTTATCTAATCGGTATCAAATGAGTTATTAATGGAAAGTCTATAAAGGCTGCCATATATAAAAATAATTTTCCAAAGTGCTTAAATTTGGAAAATATCCAGGGCAAGTAACTGTAAAAACAAGCACATCACATTATTGTCAGTTCTAGGAAAATACATCTCTCCGTTGGTGGTGAATCATTTAGGATAGATGCAGGAGGCCACTAATTCTGTCCTCTCTACTTGTAGGGATTCTGTTCTCTGGGTAGATGGTATCAAATGGGACATACAGTGCAGGAAACTTGCTTTGCTTTATTATGAAAAAACTGGACTTCCTTCACTCTAATTATATAATTTCCTCTAAATTTATTTGGGGAATAGATAAATATTATTTAAAGTATTATTGTCATTCCCTAATAAATTATACCATTGGGAGTTCTTATATTTAAGGATGAACTTACATTGATATTATTGCCTCTTATTGGTTCTTTATATGATAACGTAGTTAAGAATAGGAGACTCTACTTAATCAGTAAACATTCCATGAATACATTTGTTTAAAAGAAAGCTGTATGAACAGACAGCATAAATGGTTTATTTGAATTCTAACAGAGCACACTTCATCTTTCATTAGAATTTAACACCTTAAAGTATTCACAAATGTGACTGAATTGCACTTGCTGTCTTCCTTACCATAAAATCATCTTTTTAATAGAGAAACAATCCGGATAGAAGAAGAGAAAAAGAGGAAATGGCATCCTGCAACATTTGGTAACAAAAAATACCACTTACGGGAATGTATGTGTGAAATTGACGGCCAGGTTCCCTGTCCTGGTAAAGTGCCACTACCGAAAGAGATGACCGGCAAATATAAAAATGCCATGAAAGACACTTCCTAAGCTACTTTTATACCAGACTTCTCCACAAGGAATTAAAGATGGCAGAGAAATAAGACACTGACTGATTAGCAACATGATGAGAATACAGTATTGTGTTGAGATTTGTGGCAGGAAAGTAGATGGGCTCAGTTCTTTCACTCCTGTACACCGAATGGTAAATGTTTTATAAGTGCTTTTTGTAAAAATAATTAAAGAGCAAGTGTTGGGTCATATGGATCATAACATCAACTATAATTTTCTTATCAATTGAAGAAGGGCAGTTGTCTTGGGAAAACAGCTTGGATCACGTCCATATTGTATAATGCAGTTCTGTAGGAACAGAGAAAATGGTTGTAACAGGCAATGCTTGGTTCCTTTTCCAAAAGTTGCATTCTATTCCATTCTGTTCCGTTTTATAAGCCTACAAATGTTGATCGTGAATTAAGGGCTGAAATAGTTATAGTTGTATGTCTGTGATTTATGGCATTTTATTTTTATTTTTTTGCTTTAGTGGTTACAAATAGCATTTCAATGTATTTCATCCTTCTATAATGGTGCAAGTTCAAGCCACCTGCCTGCAAGATTTAAAACCATTTCACCTGATAGAGAAGCAATTGGCTGAAAAGTACTGAAGTGAGAGGTTCTCCAAAGGGTTGTGACAGAGCCTTGGGAGAAGTCATTGACCTGTTCTACAACCTGGTCAGGGTCAGCACCTAAACCAGTCAGGATCAGTCACACTAACTAGAACAAAACTCACAATTTGGGGGACATGGCTTGCCTTTGTAGAAAACCCGTGTTTGGATATTATGCTCTCTGCTTTCATGTTGTGCAATGCATCCTGCAATGGAGAGCCATTCTTTTGCCTATGTACAGTCATATACACCCTCTTTGAGCTCTATGGTTTTACTTATCAGGACATAGTAAAAATCATCTGGTCCTTAGCAGTTCTTAAAAGTAAATACAACCTCAGGTGAACAACATGTGATATATTAAACATATCATTTATTTTACAAAAAGAAAGCCAACAGGCAGAAGCCACGTGAAAACTAAGTACATCCTTACTGCTTCCGTAGCTTGTAGAACCATCTTTAACAGTAATAACCTAAAGCGATCATTTTCTGTTATGACAATATCAGTCTCGCATCATTGTGGAGGAATTTTGACCCACTCTTTGCAACATTGCTTCAGTTCATTGAAGTTTTGGGGCATTTGTTTATGCACAGCTCCTTTGAGGTCCTGCCACAGCATTTCAGTTGGATTGAGGTCTTGACTTTGACTGGGCCATTGCAACACCTTGATTCTTTTCTTTTTCAGCCATTCTTTGGAGATTAGCTGGTGTGCTTGGGATCAGTGTCCTGTTGCATGACCCAGTGTCAGCCAGCTGATATGCTGTATTTGTTTTTTGCCATTTCCACTTGGGTATCCTCTGCCCAAAAGACAGTGTTCCAGAAGTAGTGATTTGTTCAGATGCAACTTTGCAAATCAAAGCCATGTTGCCATGTTCTTTTTAGAAAAGGGGCATTGTCTTATCTGAATACCTTTTCTCAGCATGATGAATGGAGAATCCACGAATGGGTTAAGTGTGCTCTCCTGCCCAATTAGACCAATCAGTCAAGTTTGTCGCGCCCTGTGAGGCCTGCCCACCCGGACAGTCAGAGACGCCGCTGTTTTGCCGCTCCGCCATCCGGCGAGGGCCTTGGCCCCTGGCTGCTGCTGTTCTACTGCCTCGCTGCTGCTGCTCTGCCACCCCGCTGCTCGGCCTCGTTACCTGGCTGCTGCTGCTCTGCCGCCATTGCTGCCGCCGCCGGTCTCCCGTCGTTGCTGTCATCGGGAAGAGTCTTGCATCGCTGACGTCATCGGGAAGCACCTTGCCGGACCAACAATCGTCCGGGAGCACTGCGCTGCTCCTGCAACGGGGAGAAGCTTTTGGGCATTTTTCTGATGAACCTGGACATTTGCTGGGCTAATGGCGACCGAGCTGCGACATGATCAGTGGGAGAGGGGCTAGGGTCTGGGCGGCTGGTTCTTTTCCGTTCCACCTGGATAATGGTTTGCTGAGTAGGGTGGGGCCAGGTGAGGGTGAGGTTGGCTGAGGGTGGGGTGCGCGTATGTAAGGCACTGGGAGCAAGCCACTGCCAGTGCTAACATTATTTCCATTTAACAATAAAGCTGTTGGTAGTCTAAGCGTTCCTGTTTTCTGGCTTTTCCTTGGAGCTCAAATAGGACATCTTGACAGTAAGTTAGCACTCTACAAAACCACTACTTTCTAGTTTTCATTCCTTGGTTCCTGGTGGTAGAAAGAAATGGAGGGAACCCAGGGCACCCCACCGGTGCCAAATTGATTAGGAAGAGCAGGCCCTGATACTGTGCTTGGGGAAAACGCACCAGAATTTACCGCCTATTACTCCGTCCAGAGTTCTGGCTTGTGAGGGCCTGCCACATTCCAAAATGGCAGCCGCAACAAGTTCGATGAGGGGACTGATTGTATGTGAAATTACTTGCCCCAGCGAATGCAAGCTGAAACGGGCTACCTGCCCTTCTTCAGGTCTTCGGAAAAAGGAAAAGTTCAAAGAAGACAGAATCTGCTATGAAAGTCAACTGCTAGTGTCTGGAAAACCTAAATAAATTAATTTCAGCCTTTGGCTGCGCGGCGCTCTAAAATGGTGGCCGCAGCGACCGTTGAGTGAGGCGAGGGCTGACTAACTAGTCAAAAGTGAGCTTTTGTTTGTCACCGGTAAGAGAACACCCGAGGTCCTCCCCAAGTCTGGGAGCTGGGAAAAGGGTCACTGAAGCGAAATGAGCCGATCGCCGCGCTGCGCTCAAAAATGGTGGCTGTGACAATCAGCTGAGTTATTGCTGGGAGGCTGTCTAAACAGCCGAAGCACGTCTGTTAGGATTTTACCGATCTGGGACAGCGCTGACCAAGTGGTAAGAGAATGAAAGAATCCACGATTGAAATCAAAGTGTACAACCTGCTTTCCTGAAAATATTCTGGGAGCAAATTTACCATGTCCGTCTGGGCTGAGACCAAATCGAAACTGGAGCGTTATCTAGTCCAGGACGGGCGTGGCAACTTGACTGATTTGGTCTAATTGGGCAGGAGAGCACACTTAACCCATTCGTGGATTCTCCATTCTTCATGCTGGAGAAAAGGGGCTTTTTCCTGGCAAGCCTTCAAAACAAGCCGTTTTTATTCAGCCTTTTTCTAATTCTACTGTCATGAATCTCAACATTTAACATGCTGAGGCCTATAGAGTCTGAGATATAACTCTGATTTTTTGCAGTTTCTCTGAGCATTGCGTGGTCTTTGTGAGGTGAATTTGCGGGGACATCCATTCCTGAGAGGATTGGCAACTGTTGAATGTTTTCCACTTGTGAATATTTTTAGAAAGACAAACTTAAAATTATTTGGAAATGGTCTTATAACCCTTCCCAAATTGGTGGGCAGCAACTGTTCTTTAAGATCATTGCTGATGCGTTTTCTCTTTGGCATTGTGTTTGCTGAAAACCAGCAAACTCCTAAAACTTTGGGTTTTGTAGAGGTATTACACTTGCTGATGATCAATTGATCCAAAGGACTTGATTAGCACCACCTGGCTGTTACTTAGCCTCTCCATATGTATGGAAGCAGTAAGGGTGTAGTTTTCACATTTTTTCCATTTTGGCTTTATTTTTGTAAAATAAATGACATGGTGTAATGTCATGTGTTGTTGTTAATCTAAGGTTGTATTTACCTACTTTTAAGAACTGCTAAAGACCCAGATGATTTTTACTATGTCCTGATATCTCTGATTGAGATATGTAGAAATCAAAGCAGGTATACTTTCTTTTTCACATGACTGTTAACTAGATAAGCAGGACAGATCCCTGATAGCCTTAAGCTAATTTAGTATGTGACTTGATCAAATAATGTCGGAATTAAATATCACCTTTCCCCCTTTCTTCCTATAACCCAGGAAAACGTGTTGTGGGAATGTGGCTATGGTAAAATTTATTTCTGATCAATTTTTTTTTCTTTGGTTGCCCTATCACCAAATCTATTTTTAATTCTGAATTGTCTTATTTTACATTACAAAAATATAACTTGCTCAAGTGATTAAATTGGACATTTGAAAACTCTTATCAGCAAGTATCAGCTATTTAGGTAGGAAAAGCTATTTATTACTCTTGTATATGTATGTGTACTGAGGCTTTTCATGTTCATGGAAATCAAAACTGTACCACCTGCATAAAAGGAAGTTACATCTAATACCCTGAACAACCCAGGATTTTACTTATTCTGAAGCCAAGAGTGGAGAATAAAGTAAAATTGTGACTTCTAAAAAGCCTCAATATTTTAAAGTTGAGTTCTGTACATTATTTCAAAACAATTTTTTTTTAAAAAAAACCAAAGATCATACATCTGTCTATACCAGGGGTATCAAACTGCCGGCCCACAGGCCAGACGCATCATCCAGAAGCCACGCCCACCCCATTGCCGGCAATGGCAAAACCGTCCTGATACGTTGCGTAATGTCACGTGACATCGCAAGTTTGACATGTCTGGTCTATATTATGTAGTTCTCTACATTTCACCATGGTACTGTACATAGTTTTTCTTACACAAGACTTGGATTGAAAGATTGTTCACCTTATTTTAAATATCCTGTTCCAGAAAAGAAGAGAGTTTTTCTTCCTAACTGCATTTCTCATTTTATTTGAACTAAAGAAAGTATCTTGGTACAATACATAGAGAAGATTAAATCGTTAGAATCTTTTCAGTAGACCAGCCTGGAAAAGACCCCTGTCTAAACAATGAGGACAATGCTTCCTTGCAGAAATTTCCTGGCTCAGTATAAAAATGCTTCCTATGTGCTGCTTGTAAGATACCAAGAAATTTGCAGTTCACATAAAAGACTAAATGCTGCTGCTGCTGTTGACCTAATCAGTTTTTCCACATTCACAGAAACAAAAATCTTACTTTATTTCATGAGAAACTTTACAAACTAGTGCATGCAAATGTACAAACAAATGGCATTAGTGTTAAATCTCATAATGGCATGGTCTTGTTCATTTTCTTTGTGTCAATTCAGTAGTACAAACAAAGCTGACAAAATGTGGGACAACCATTAGGTTATCAAGAAGGATAATTCCACATTGACTTGCAGTTATTAGTGCTACAACCAATGTATTTATTAATAAAATACATCAATACTATGTCATAAACTATGGCGTACATAGAAACAAGGCAGAATGCTTAATACAAGGAAATAGGGTTTAAAAAAAAAGCCACTGAAACATTCATGTTGGTTGGACTACATAAAAGAGTGACAGATCAAGTTTGTGGCCTTGTCTTTAATAAATATAGTTTTACCTTAATCACCACACTTTTGCTCTTGCTCAGTTTGTAGGTATCCGTTTTTAAAAATATTTTATCACTTATTTTTATGTTCCAACTCTGTCCTGTTTAGTGCACTGTAAATTTCCAGAATGCTTCCATTTTAAAAAAAGAAAAGAATCCTTAGACTATTATATAGCCCAATGGGCAGTGTTCAGCTCAGTTTCTACAGGAACTCAAGGTTCATTAAAACAGGCTGTCACTGAGTTTAGCTGAGTTATGATGCATGACATCAAAGCTAAAAAAATATGAATATCATGAATTAACAAATGAATAACATGTAATACTTAATGCTGAAAGTATAAAGTGCTGCCTTAGTTCTTGACCATACTACTTCTAATATTTGAGGAATGTAACATTTAGTGTCCTCATATATTGTGTACAATATCATCTCTACCAGCATTTCTAAATGGGAAACATTTGTCAAAATCAGATTAATGATTAATGCTTGGGCCTTCTTCCCATTCCCCTAAGTACATAATACTCTCCAAGTAAGTTCTTCCAGTGTAAATAATTAAAATTGATTTAAGTCCCAAAATAGTAAAACGCAACCAAATAAAATTCATTCCGTACAACTGAAACCAGACATTATTTAACACTCCCTAAACATTTCTCGTCATAACTGGCAGATCAATAAAAGGAAAAAAAATCTTTACATTTACAAATGAATAGCTCAACCTTAAGAATTTCATAGCCTCCATATAACGGGGTTATTCTGTTATCCTCCAAACAACAAATTGAGGTGGTGTGTCAACACTCCTTTTTCTGAAATGTGTTCATCTTGGTCTCTGGGTTTATTAAAAGCGCTTTTTTCCTTTAATTCTACACTGAACATTTTCTTAAATCCTAGACAGAAATCAAATCAGAAAGAAAAATGGGTTTCTAGTTTTTCATTTATACTTTTAAGTGGACACCTAGGATAGTTCCCCTCAAAGCACAGTTCTGGATGCAAATCTTCTAATTTTTGTAAGCAGAAAACAGTTTCCCTATTATGACATTTCTACAAGCCTGGAAATTACGTAGTTTTGGGAGACTGACAAAAGTTTCAACATTCTTACAAAAGGTAGTCTAGAATAGGCTAGAAAAAGCTATTAAAATAGTTTAATCAGCTGAAGAGCAGGTAAAGGAAAAAATACATGATGTCTAATTAGGATTTATGCATTTGTTTTCTAAAACATATGTACATATGTTTTTAGAAATATATATGTTGCTTTACCAATGAATGACTTTATTCTATTGAACAGTAAGTTATTTTCTCTCTTCTGCTTCCCCAATATAAAGTTGGTAGGAAAACTGAGAATTTCTAACACAATATTAATTCCTTATTAGCTGGGCTGTGCAAGAATCAAACACAATTCTGAAGAAATGGACTCATGTGAGCACCATGTTTCTCTGAAGCAGCAAAAGGTTTTCCAGGTTGCTACACAAGTTGCTTCTGCCTTAGGAAGCAAAAAGGTGGTTTGAAGCACTTTTTTTTTAAGCAAATACAACCCTACCTGGTGACAGAAAATAAATTCAGAAGTCATACGGACTGCAAATAATTTCCTGCATTTTAAAATGCCCAATTTCCCCCTTTGAATTTTACATCAGAAATAAAGCAGGTGCTGAGAAATACAATTGTGCTCCTAAATTTGGGTTGGGATACAAATACAGACTTTCAGTATTTGAAAAACAGTTTTGGGTAATTACAACATTTTAAATAGTGTTGACTTTTACACATTTGAATAGTGGAAATTCCTATACCAAAGTGCCTAAGTCTGATTCAGCACCCAAGTGCCTTTTGCAATGTATTTCTCATTTTACCTTGATGGACTTCCCTCCCTTTGGGAGTTGCAAAAATATGCGGATATACTTCAGCAGCTCAATTTCTTCTTCTGTTTTGCAAGTGTGCTCTTAAGTTCTTTCAAATTCTCAGTCAATACTTCTATCTCATCCATTCGTCCACTTTGTTTGGCATCAAAAATATATGCTTTGATATTATCAATCTGTTGGAGAAGTAATTCCTCTTCTATGACATCTTCTCTTGAAACTTCATGACCACTTTCAACTTCAAAAGGATTCAAAGAGGAAGACAATGATTCTTCAAATGGATTCCCAGATTCCTGGTTACTTACAGGTGTATAAAATGGATTTCCAACAGAATCTTCAAATGGATTTGGAGCACTGAGCTCTACGCCGTTTGCCTGTTGACAATCCTGCTCCTCCTCCTCCTCCTCAAATGGATTATACTCTCTTTTATAACTCTGCAGAGTATTGATAGGCAAGGGAACTACTGCAGACTTTTCAGCAACAGGACTTTCAGGGTCACTCTTTGGAGGGCTAATTAGTAAAGGATCTTCAAATGGATTTATGGAGGATTTTTCACACTCTGAGGCTTTTACAGGTTGGCAAACCAAAACCAGATTCTTGCTATCTGGCAATCCAATACCATCACTTGGGAAAGCAGCCTTAGAACCAGCGTAATCTTTGTCCTGAAGCTTATCTAGATCCAAGGCCTGTGCTATTTGGTTTATACTTCCCCTCTCAATCTCAAGTTTATCATGCTTCACTTCTCTGAAATCCAGAGAACGGGTCCGTGAATGTTGAGACATCTTTTTTTTATGATCTCTTTTCCATTCTTTTTCACAAAGGATCTGCAATTGTTCTCTCTGCATTTCCTCCATCTCTGCTTGCTTTTTGGAAAGTTCGATGGCTTTGACTGTTTGCTGTTGGTCGTACTCGTCTTGAAGCTGTCGCAGGTTCTCCTGCAGCATTTGGACTTCGTCCAGACGATTGGCTTCCTTTGCCTGCTTAATAAAGGACGTGATATTATCTATCTGTTGAAGAAGTGGGTCTGTGAGTTCCTGGTTCCGAGATATGCTAGCAGTAGGTAGCCATCCTTCAGCTTTCTTCACTGCGACCCTTTTTGTTCGATGGACCTCACCATTGGACACTGCTAAAGATCTGGAAGCGTAGTTTGCTGGCTTCTCTTCTTGTCGTCTCTGGGGTTCATATTTCACCTAGCCAAAAAGAAAGGAAAACTTTAAAAGGAGTCCACATTTAGATGAGGACTCCACACTTCAGCCACCTCATTAGTTTTTAGCATGGATTTGTGAGCCTAGAAAGGCAACTATATTGGCGGAAATAGGTCTTTTTTTCTGAGGTTTTTTTTTTTCCTCCAGCTCAAAAAAGATATATTTAAACTGATGGATTATGTAGGGTTATTGTTATTTTTCACTGCTCACCTGTTCATCAACTGTTCATGTCCACCATCATCTTAATTGTATTTAACAGAAATAATATCCTGTTAAATATGTTTAGAATAATGTTTCAGAGTGGGAGCTAAGCAGAATAAGCTAAGCAAGTAGAAGTTACTCTTCTGCACATGGGGTAAACAGCCATGCTCCAGCAAGTTTTATTCTCTCCTGTAATGACTGCAACTCTCTCTAGCCTCCTGCCACTTTGACCGATCTCAAAGAACTGGGTTCTTCCATAGAACGATCAGCGGTCCATTAACTCAGAGATCAGATTAGAAGTCAGTTTCAAATCTTGTTTTAATATGTATTTCATTTTTAAATTTAATGTATCACATGTGATTGTTATTTCAATAAGATAAATATATTTATGCTTCTAAACCAGTGGTTCCCAACCTTTTCTATACCCTTACTCCTAGAACATTTCTGATATATTCTCGCACCCTTCCAAAATAACGACAACGAATTATGCATATACACTATAATTTAAAAAACCCAAGTTTTCGCACCCCCTGGAATATCGTCTTGTACTCCCAGGGGGTGCGAGCACCCCTGGTTGGGAACCCCTGTTCTAAACTAACAGTAAAATAAAGCAAAGTAAAGTTAGTGAAAAGGGTACAACAAAACAAACATTTGGGAGAAGAGCAGATTTTCTCCTGGCTAAAATATTTTGGAAAACTTATTGTAATTTGTAAAAGACACGACTTTTTTTTTTCAAAAAAGCACAAGAAAGAAGTGATCTCAAAAAAAAAACAAAAAAAACCAAAACTGGGTTCGTACAAGAAACAGATTTTTTTTATTAAGCTGATTTTAAATATATTCTCGACTTATGTCACACTAATTGCAATTGTTTTAGCAAACAAATTCAAAAGTAAAGTATTTCAGAAAGGAAATTCTTTAATCAATGAACAAACAAACAAAATCATTGTCAGCAATATTTACAGATTAAAATACTTGCCAGTCTCTCCATTTGCAGTTTTCTCTCTAAGTCTTGTTTCTTTTTCTCTTTCAGTTCTTCATACTGGTCTTTGGTCGGTAAAGACATTAGGCCAAGCAATTTTTCCTGAGGATTTTTTTTCAAAATATAACTTTAAAGGGTACAGGATATTAAGATTTAGATCTTATTGAAAACTAGAAAATGTGAGTGTGTATGCATATATGCACATATATAATTATACTTTAAGTGATTAAATATAAACAATGCCCATTCATCCAAATTACATGTCAAAGAATAAAGTTAAAATGTGATCAATTATATCTGATATCAAATAACAGTATTCAATGTAAGAGATCAATACATGAAGTAAGTCTCTTCCAAATGATTTTTTTTTTCTGATTACTTCAGGAATATATCTCTAATTTTCTTGGAAGCATTATGGAAATGTTTTACAATTGCCTGCTTCTTGAATGTTTTGTCAATTTCCTTTTTCAATTAGCATTTTTCAAAAACTTAAGTGCAAGAATAGAAAAAAAAAGAATCAATCATATAATAAAAGAATCAAATAGTTTTAAACATATTTAAACAGAATGATCAAATATACTTCCTAAAACACCAGAATGAATTAATGAGATTGCAATCTAATCTGAACCAGATGGACTATGGATGGATGGATGGATGGATAGATCGAAGGAAGGAAGGAAGGAAGGAAGGAAGGAAGGAAGGAAGGAAGGAAGGAAGGAAGGAAGGAAAGAAGGAAATTTAGGGATGAAAAATACAGGGTGTACAATAAAAGATGGGAGACATATGGCCTGGACTTGGTGTGGTCACTGATAACAAGGTAATGCAGCAGAAGGATATACAGATAGTCTTCAACTTACTACCATTTGTTTAGCGACCAAAGTTACAACAGCACTCAAAAAAGGGACTTATGACTGGTTTTCACACCATTGCAGCATCCCTATGGTCACGTGATCTAAATCTGGCCGCTTGGTAAATGGCCTGTATTTATGACAGTTGCTTTGTCCCGGGGTCATGTGATCCCCATTTGGAACCTTCCCAGCTGCCTTCTGATAAGCAAAGTCAATGGGAAAAGCTAGATTTGCTTAACAACCACATAATTCACTTAACAACTGATTCATATAACAACTGTGACAAAAAGGTCGTAAAATGGTGCAAAACTCACTTAGCAACTGAAATTTTGGGATCAATTGTGGTTGTAAGTCAAGGACTACCTGTATTGTATCAAAACACATGGGATGTCCTCCAGAAACTACTCATGGAGCCTGCAGGATACTCCATCTCTGGAGGTTTTTAAGACTGCATAGACACATTTTGAGAAGAGTTTAATTGGCATTCCTGCATATTGCAGAAGATCGGATTTGTAGTCCTTTCCAACATCACAATTATCTAATTTTATGAAGTCAGCACCTCAGAATTATTAAAATGCAATTTCAAACAAAGGGGGAAGAAGATAAAAGGAAAGTCAAAACCTGAGAATAAACATTGTTTTTTTAGGCTTAGCTTATTTGACTATAATATCAAGGAATTTTCCCATGATATCATGTAATAGCTTGCTAAATTGAAATCCAATTACAGTGCTGAGAAACCATTCCCATCACTATGGCAGTGCAAAAACATTCATTAGCCTTCTAAATACCAGCAGAGCCACTGACATAGCTTACATCTAATTAGGTAGGAAGTATTTAAAAACTGAAACACTAATTCATTTTATTATGCAAATTGTTAAAACAAAATGACAAGTTTTATAATATCGTGAAAAATATTTAAAGTGTCAGTATGTAATCTGGTATTGTCTTAGGGGAACTAATATGTCTAAAAGCAGCTCATCCTTTCTAGATAACCTACCTGAACAAAAAGTGTAGCTGAATATCTAATCATCCTCTGTAGCTGTAAAGTTCTTGGATGAGGTTGTGGATCTTCATTCAGCCCTAAAGTCAGAATCTTCTTGCTGAAACAAACAAACAAACAAAAAGAGTAAATTAGAAATACATAACAATCAGCTAAGAGAAATCAGCAGACAGAATTTTAAGTATTGCTAAGTATTGATAAACCATGTAATTGGCAACATGGATTTATTTTTATTTTTTTAATAATGTTATTTAAAACAAAAAATATGAAAATACATATTGAATTCTGACTCCCTCTGTTGCAGTAAAATAAGACATTAAGATCGAATCTCAACTTTTTTACATATCTATAGTAATATAAACTAGCCATTTCTGTATCAACAAATCAGTCCAATCAGTAAAACCCAAAATCATAGGATCATTTTTTTTCCACCTCAAGCACAAAGTCCAGAAGAAATTTCCAAGTAGAAACAAAAGTACATATGTTCTTTTCTTTTGTCAAAATAGTCAATTTAGGCAATGTCTGCTAATTCCATGAGTTTTTGTAATCATTCATCCATGGTAGGAATCGAAGCTTCCTTCCATTTATTTTTACAGTAAAATATATCTCATTATGTTTATGTCTCCTTTAAAAAATGTTCATCTTCACTGAAAATTAAAAAAAATATAAAGCCAAGCAAAATATAATCCAATAACAATTTTCATCTTCATATTTTGTACTTACCTTAAAGCATCTATTAATTCATACATTCTCTGTACTTCTATTCTAAGATTGCTAGCACGTTCAAGACTGTATGTTGTCTCTCCAGCACTGGAAGAAAACATGCACATTTAAATTTTCCCAAATTGTTATCCATATAGATTCAGCAGTTATTTTGTAGTAGAGAACTATATAGACACATCTAAAACACTATTCTTGTTCATTTGGGAACTGGGAATGAGCTATGAAAGGAAAAAATCTTGAATATCAAATATCGATCTTGGTGCATTTTTGTTATCAATTTTTCTCGAAATTATTTAGTTCAAAAAAAAAAATAGTTCTACATGGTTAAACATCATTTTAGAGTGGGAAGCAGCTTTAAAAATTAGCATCACTAAGCTCAACATGATTTTAAAGAATAAAAATGCATTTATAAGGACACAAATCCAAACATATATAATATCAGCCTTGGTAGTCAAGTATTTATAACAGCTGACCATTGTGGTTCTCACTTTGTTTTTATCCTAGAGATTTTGGTATTTTTCCCTTTAAACATTTGAAATTTTATTTCTCATCATATCCATATGAACGCCTATAAACACTTTATTAATATTTTATAATCTTGTTTTCTACTTCAAAGCTAGTTAGATTTGATAAACTGAATTTGGAATAACCAAGTCTCTATTTTAAATGTCTGTTAAAGAAATTTAATTCTAAAAAGGGAAGAAGAATGATTAGGCTTTCAAGTTCTTTATTATTTTAAAAACTAAAGCATTTATATATATGAAAATGATCCTACGCAAACCTATCTGAGAGCAAGTTCCAACTCAAAGTCTATTACTTAATATATGGATTCAACTTACAAATTAAAATCTTCATTTAAAATCACCAGCAAACTTACAAAGTCTGTCCAAATTCCATAACCTATAGCTCACAAGGGTAGCCATATAAGCCTTTTGAATAAAATTCAGAAAATATAATTGTGTAAATATCACCCAGTACTGCTAACAATGAAAAAAATATATAAGGAGATTTTTGGACATAGTGTGAAAATTGGTTCTAAGTTTCAGTTAATAATAATAATAATAACAGACCACTGTCCCAAACAAAACAGTAAATAATAACTTTGTATTATATTGTGCTTTTTACAAAATTGAAGTTTCCAATATTAGATATATTCCAATAACTAATTAGATATTAGTTATTTTCTGATTTTTTTTAATAACACAAACATCTAATCACTTTTAAATAATACAAGAGTTAATTATAAAAAACTAAAGAGGCTTACTTTAATGATTCTGCCATCTTTATGTATTCTGGGGCCTTCTGGTCAGCTTTTTCCATGTAAAATCGGAGTTTCTTGTTTAATAAGAAACCAACAGATTAAAATTAAGTTACTCACGAGAATAATTCAAATATAAATGTGTTATATGCATCCTATTTTTCCTTTCCTTTATGTGAGTTTGTTAAGTTGACCTAATTCTATAGACCAGTGGTTCTCAACCTGTGGGTCGGGACCCCATTTGGGGTCGAACGACCATTTCACGGGGGTCGCCAAACAAGGCTGTCCGCCATTTTTCCCCCTTTTCTTTGGCCACGCCCCTGGCACCCGGTGATGTATAAGTGGTTGGGGGTCACCACAACATGGGGAACTGTATTATGGGGTCACGGCATTAGAAAGGTTGAGAACCACTGCTATAGACGATCAAGATGTATTAATTAAGATGATCAGCATCTATCAGACAAAGTAAAATATTTTACTTTTTTGGTAAACTGCTTTTCTATAGTGGATCATAAACTAATGCTGAATAGGTTGCTCTTATAGGCTCAGAGATATAGTTGAAAATTTCTAAGTTCGAATTTCTTGTCTCAAAGGTCATTATGAAATGGGGCAAAACTTTACCTGGAAAAAATATATCATTTTTGAACTGAACGTTTTCTGCCCCACAATATTGTCAATGCTAATAGCACAAGCAAACTGAACTTTTTCATACACAAATTATGTAAAAATATTTAGGAAAATCATCCAGAAAAATTTCCACTTCAAAAATCTCTGGAAAACCAACATTACAGTTGAACCAGCAATGAAAGAGATTGACACAATTTAATTCAACTTGAAGTGCTCTTTAAACACTGTTTAAAAACAAACAAAAAAGAGAAATTCTAATTGTTAATAAAGATGAAATGTGTGAAAGAACAAACACACACACACACACAGCTCAGCCATTGTTATTTTAATATATCTATAAATTCTAGTCATTCCCATTTAGACTTGTAGAAAATCTGTGAATTTGAAATGTACTTTTGCACAGCTTTACTGTCAGATGTAAAACTTACTAAGTGAGAAAAATACTCAATGTTTGCATTCCATCTCAGTTGTTAAAATCCTACCAATTTTAACAGGCTGTGCTGGTGCTGGACTATTAAAATAACTTCTAAAATGTGGAGCATATTTACTCAACAAAAGGGAAAAAAGCTTTTTACAAGAAAATACTGACACTTAACTGGATTATGAAACTAGCACAGACCACTAGACTACAAGAGCCTATAAGAGTACCAGTTTGTTTAAATCTCTGATTGTAGAGTCTGCAATTTCCTTCAAAAAAGATTCAAGAAATGGATTAAAAAACCTAAGTGGAGGAAACGAGACCTCCGTTACAAAGATTGGTGGTAGGAAAAGGAATGAATCCATTTCACATAATATTGTATGCTTGTATTAGCTGTACAGATCCAGGTTTTGCAAGCAATGTGAATCTATTCTTTTTGTCAGCAATGCACAATATTCAACCGATAGTTGAATATCTAATATCTAACTAAAATGAATATCTAACTAAAATGGTATAGAAAATCAGCTGGCCATGTCTGCATTGCTCCCAGATCTGTAATATGCTTTTTGAACTGTAATGACCAAGACTATTGCAGTATTCTAACAATAGTGGCATATTGCTAAATAGGTTATACAGAAACCAAACTAAAGCTCTATACCTATCCTACAATGCTTATAAAAAAATTTCAAATAAATTGCCACTCAAACAAATCCAAGCTGGGGAAGCAACACTTTTCTGAAAAGCTTCTAAATTTGTGAGAGCAGTTGGATCAATCTGTTTGAAATCTGACAGGAAAAATATCCCTGAATTGGAACAGTAGCTGCAAATTTCATCCATTTTTGTCAAATGCAAAAGATTATAATTTGTTGATTTCTTATAGTAGTTAAGAGTAATACAATTTCAGTAATAATTGAAATTGTCATAACTTCAGATTTTCCAAAGTGAGATTCTGATAGAATGAATTGGGAAGTTTCCAAGGTTATTTCAGCCCAACTGTTATTTTCTAATTACCAAAGCTAAACCAAATTTTATCATCAATGAACAAATTTATTGTTTTCTTTTTAATATAAACAGGTCCTACTCTCTTAAAGTTACTCTCGTAAAAATTATCATATACACTATTGCTAATAAGTCTAATATAAGTCTTCATCTCAGTCATTTTACCTCATACAGTTTCACGATATCTGGTATATATTCTCTTTCATCAATCTGTTGTTCCCTTTTGAGCAGCGTATCTTTACAGTGTCTACAGCAACGGATTCGATCGTCATCCTTTTCATCCAAAACAGAACTGACACTGCTTATACTACTGATGCTACCTCGTCGAGAGCCCTGGATGCTATTGGGTGAGCAGCTGGGGCTAGTATGAGAGGCCAAGACTTCCTTGCTAGCAGTAGTAAGTTTGCCTGAAAGGAGAGATCAACAAAATATAACTGACAAGATGTAATTGTCCCGATGACAGAACATTTATCTTGAACACAGGTTCAAATAATTCTGCTCAACTCAATTTACACATAAAAACAAGAACTGCAATGAAACTGTACTCTAAAAATTGGCTGCTACAAATGTTTTTCCCTGTACAACTGTAAAATATTACATTCAAAGTTAATGTGAATATTTATATGTTACATCTCATGAAATCTAGCTACTAAAGAGGCAACTGACATTACTTACACTGTAGTAAAGGGATAATTCAATTTTGAGGTGAAGAAACTTTTTAGTTTAAATATGAGACTTCTAAAAACTGTAGAAAAGGGAGAAGTGTTTTTTTCATCTCTTTCTAAATACTTTTTGGAAATTCATTTTTAAAATGTAAAACAGCTTTGAATAGCTATTGACAACATAGAAAAAATCCTGGACCTAAAACTAGCATTTTCATATCAAAAATTTAATGACACAATTATGAGAGAGACTGGGAGAATAAGATGCAATTTATGAGTTGCCAACCGCTCTTTTGGGAGGGAAAAAAACTCTCAATCTTCTCCCCACTCAAAAATAAATCCTCTGAAAATCCAGTGTACACATGCACATACACGAGGGCAACATTTGGCTATTGTCTATGCTGCTACAAAAACAAAAAGACTTATAAATATGTCCGCCAATCCTTCTAAAATTTCCTCTACTGCTATAAGTTGGTATCTCATCAGAGCAGAAGACAATTACTCATTTTTGTGAGAAACATAAAAGGACAGCAATATTTTTTTCTTAATTCATATCATAATAATGTTTCAGTGATACTAAGCCAAAATATGATAAACACCTAAGATGGAATTAAGACACTCCTCCTAACTCTGCCACTGTACTCACTTGCAAAGGGGAGACTGACCAGTTCCATGCATTTCTTGCACATGATAGACCCACAGAGGCGGCAGTGATGGCGCCTGTTCCGTATGCTGAATTTGTTACCACAGTCTGGACAAAATGGTACATCTTGATCACTAACCCAAGGCACAACAGATTTCTCTATTGCTGCAACAAGACGTGATAACCTGTTAGACGCCATTAATGAAACCATAGTTGAAAATATTAGCAAAGATAATTCTTTTTTGCGCTTACCTCTTATCTTTGCAGAATCTGTAACTGTTCTGTCAAAGGAAGTAAGCTGACCAAAAGAAAATGATCAAAAATTAGATATACATACAAATTTTACTGTATAGTTTGTCACATTATTTCAAATAAATCAAGTAAATCTGTTTTTAACCACCTTTTCCCGAATGTCTTTTCTTAAAAATCAAATGTCTTCCCTGAGTATCTCTTTTATATCACCTTAGTAATGGACCTGCAGAAATAGAGTCCAAATATTGGGAAAAAATTAAAAAAAATATTTAAAAATTTAGAGAAATCTGTTTGTTTTAAAGATCAAAGTTTGAATAGGGAAAAATAGTGAAAACAAATTATAAAATGAAAATTGAGAAGATTTTTTATTTTTTCTAATTAAAAAGTAAATACTGCTGAAGAAAAAATATTATCTTCCTTAATTCCAATTTCTATTCAGTTCCTTACTGTATACTAGTTGGACTAGAAAGGGAATATTACATTTCCCACAGTCCAATCAATAGCAGTATTGCTATTAATAGGACACTTCAGAAATGTTAAAGTAGGGCTAGACAAAAAAAATTCAGCGAATTAATTTTCTGACTATGCTTTTTAGACTGCTATATCAATATTGGATGAGACTTAAGCAAACAGACAAGGATCAAAAGTATACTGTGCCTAAGAGGATCCCTAATTAAAGTAAATTATGGACCACAGTTTTCTTTGCAGAATCTCTATATTTAACATCCTTCAGCCACTGTTACTTCTTTTTGTTAATAGCACCTCACCAAGGAATGCACTTGTGAATTATACTTTAACAAATAACATAATAAACATCATAAGAAATGTTACAGTAGCTAATGACTGAAAAAAGATATATGTGATTAAAACATTTTAAAATAAAATTTTAATTAAAAAGTAAATAAAATTAAAATGTTAAAACTACAAATTATTTACCTTTTCTAACCTGATTATTAATTTATTGACTTCCACAACATAGTGATCAATTCTGGCTGCTCTGTGTTTCTTAAAATCAGAAAGATGACTCCTTATAGCACCTAATATAAAATATCCGGTTAGGAAACTTGACAGAATAATTCAACCTTAAATATTCAGCTAATAGCAGTTTATCATGTTCTTATTTCTATAAATTTGCTGTTCAGTTTAAAATTCAGGATTAAAGAATGGTAGCTCATGGATCCTTTGCAATGCCATAAAGCCGAATAGTGTATACAGTAACCAACCAATCATAATAATCAAATCAATCCAGACTGTGGCTTAGAATATTAAGCATAAACACATTATTTCTTTACTGGTCCAACTAATTAAACAGCCATAATCCTTCAGGAAAATAATACAGAGAAGTAGATACTGAGGGGAGCAAAGGAACTTGGGAAAGGATTGATCTGGCCCCACTGTGTAGGCAGGGTAATTATAATTGTGGGTATTGCAGTAAAAACCCACAGCCAAATGTGGTTTGCCATATCATTTGGTATGCATAGTTAATATTCAACATAGTTTAATGTGCTATATAAACCTACTCTATATTTTAGTCTTTACTGATAAAATTCTATTCTTATTTATAAGATAATGGCATTTCAGAAGACATATTTCTACTATAGAATTTTCTTCTGGTATTAATTACTGCTAGTGCTGAGTCCATTTTGCTTTTAGCATCATACATTTGTACAAATTCATTATCTATTACCAACTATCTTCATACTACAATATGATACATATCTTCCCAGAATTCACTGGTGCTCTCTCACAGATTAGGTTAGTACAGTACATCTATATAGATTTATATACAATATAAAAATAAATGTACAAAGTTAAAAACATCTGGCTAACTGTAACTAGGAAAACTTTCACAGCTTTATTATTTCTAGATTACATAGTTCAGTATCTAGGGAGAGTAACATGCTATCTATCCTTGTTACAAATGAATGTTTCTTGATTGGTTACCTAATTCTTCCAGTTCCCACATATATGGATCCATTCCAACATAACTGTAGCCTTCATATCGTTCCTGAGACCCACCATCACTTCGTTCATCATCTCGTCTCAACAGTTTATTTTTTGCTTTTTTTGCTTTTTGAACAAGATCTAAGCAAGATAAAATGATGGATGACACAAATTATATTTATACATTTAAACAGGGCTTTTTTTCTCATAGAACGCCCAGAATGGAGTTCCAGCCCCTTTTTTGGATGGAACCTTGTAGGGTAGGCAAGGCGGGTTGTATGACATGTGTGAGTTCCAGCACCTTTTTTTTATTTTTTTTACAAAAAAAGCACTGCACTAAAACATAATCGTTAAGAATTGCTTCCTTACAGTTGCCACTGTGATAGTGTGTCAAGCCCATGGTTAGCATGGAGTATGCCCCTGTACCCGATTTGCAATTTTCAGAACTTCTCAGAATGGACTGGCCATGATTTTTAAACTCAGTTTGTCCTTTTGGTTGGATGAGAAACTTTAAGAGCAAAATAACAAGTGTTAAAAACAGCCCCCCTCAAAAAAACAACAACCCAGGGCTGCATTTCCTAGATGGACAAGCTAAAGTGGCAAAATGGAAGCCTTAAGTCTTTGTTTAAATTTGGGTTTCATTGGCAGATATCATAGCATTTTTTTTCTATTCTCCCATAGGAATGAGATATATATTATTCTAAAATTTGTAAAAAAAATAATCTGAAGATGAAAAGAATTACAAACATTCCCATAAAACACAACCCTGAAAAGAAATCTACTTCGTCCAACCTGTTGGGAATACAAATGTATCAATTAGCCAAGCAGTCCAATTATTGACAGCCCACAGGAATATTTTGTACCCTGTATAAACTTAATTCAGGAAGCAATCTGTGCAATAGAACACTGGACAAAGCAGAAGGCAAGAGCACTTTAAAGATAAAACAGTGACGCATTTAACAGCCTTCAGAGGACTGGGAAATAACTTGTAACAAGTAAAGGAAATTAACAGTTCAACACAACCACATGCTCTTTGTATTTTATTGTGAATGGGTTTCTAAGTGTATAGTTATTTAAAAGAATGGGAAATGCCCAATAATTAGCATATAAAGATATTACAATTATTTTTACCTTTATGGCTACCACTATTCTTAAGCTCTTGTTATTAAGTTGTGCAGCCAGTGATTGAAATTATGTGATGACTAAGGGCTGTTTACATGCCACATTTGATCCCATCAGAGTATTCCCAAGAATGACTCTGAATGTCTGAAAATATAATGAAACTCAATGCGTCAAAATCACCATGACAATCAGCAAGACCTTCAGCTAGAGGTAGCTTGATTTAGTCTGGGTCCTCAGAGACAGAAGTACACATGAAGTTAGCAACATTAGTATGTATTGTGAAACAATGTATCATGTGGCTAAAATGTAATGTAGTAAACAGCACTAAACTGATATTAACAATTATTAATGAATTTGTACTGGTTTCCCAAAATCATGGTATCAGATACCTAGATACAGTGTTTTTCCTGTATTCTTCAGGCATCCTAGTTAAAGTATTTCTTTTGTTCTGATTGAAGACCACCAGGAATGTCCAAGTTATTTAGGTGGTAATTCAGGGGCCACCTATGCACATTCTTCCTTAAACTAAAGGGAATTGCCTCATGTACTTAAGATATATCCAAGCACCCATCCAATCACAAATCATCACTTCAGCCAGAGAACTTACAGCCAATTATAAGTAACCTTCACTCTCACAATCAGCTAAAGCAGACATGTCAAACTCGCAACGTCACATGACGTCACGCAACATATCGGGCCAGTTTTGCCATTGCCGGCAATGGGGTGGGCGCAATTTCCGGATGACGCATCTGGCCCGTGGGCCGGCAGTTTGACACCCCTGAGCCTGTGGGCCGGCAGTTTGACACCCCAAAGATTTCAAGTCAATCTTTATTACTTTCAGGTTTTTAATGCATTGCATTATTTCCCTGCTCTGTTGTGATGAGTGATCTTTTCTTCAAATGCTCCACTCTTTTACTAAAAGTGTCTTATGTGTTTGTGGCCAACAGTTCAAATTTTGTTTCCTTGGTCCAAAGCACTCTAAAGGCTTTATTTTGCCAACTTTAAATAATGACTTTTGTGATTAGAGAAAATATTTCTTTTTGCCAATCTTCCTCTTCAGATCATTGTTGAATAAGTAATGTTATACAGCAGAATTGTGGACAATTACTCCACGGTCCAAACTTCCACACTTGTCACAGTCATATTTTTTTATTATTTTCAGCCATTAAACAACAGAAATTTTAAGTATGCATTTCACATTTGCATAAAATTAGTGTTATTTTACTTGTATCGTGGACAGCTTCTATTTCACACAGGGATACATTGAAGCATAATTTCACCAATTATTCCTTAACTTTTGCACGCAAGGAACATACCTATTACTTTATAACCAGCTAATATTAAAGATTCACAAGGGGCTTATAGTCAATATATCTATTTGTCTGAATGAAAGAGCTGCCTGATGAGGGGAGCTGAACTCCTATCAGAGCAGTTCCTCTCTGGGCATGGAGGGGAGCTGAACTCCTTCAGCAGGGTGTGGCACAGTCACAACTGTGGCCATAAATCGAGGATTATCCAAATACAACAAAGTAAAACACTGCTTTCAACCTATCTAAACTCCTCCCATTCAAAGGTCATGTGTGGGCATCATCAGTATGCCTCCCCATGAATTATGAGTGTTAACTGTATTGCCATAAGAAGAAAGGTAACATTATATTTATTTTTAATAAACAGAAAATTATTATCACCTATGTCAGTGTTTCCCAAACTTGACAATTTTAAGGCATGTGGACTTCAACTCCCAGAATTCCACAGCCAGCAATTCTGGCTGTGGAATTCTGGGAGTTGAAGTCCACATGCCTTAAAATTGTCAAGTTTGGGAAACACTGACCTATGTTAACACACAGGAGGTTTTTTTTACACAGAGGGGATGATTTAGGCATGTTTAAGGGTGAAATTAGTCCTTTAAAATGTTGCCCATTATTTTTTAGGACCCCCCCCTCCCATATCAGCTGCATATTACTGCTATACAACTAACAATTGGCTTTCTATTCATCTTAATAAAGGCTTACTTTATTAAGCCTTTATTAAGGCTTAATACTTAATAAATAATCTTACTTTACATCCAGAAAGTGACTGCCAATATTTTTATGTAGTAAGCAAAAAAATGTGTGTTACATACATAACAATGGGAATTAGAACACCTACTCTTTAGTTGTCCTTTAACATCTCTGTCTTCACTTGAATGTTCTTCATAGTGAGATTGGAGCTGTTGAAATGACTGCAGATCCTTCAGACACAGCGGGCATAGAAAGCCCTCTCTCACCTCTCCAGGATCATCAAAGGGAGGTGTGTAGCTTGTTGCCATACTGGTCCAAGATCCCTGAGGTTATTGCTTCTCTCCAAATCTCAGGGGCTACGGAACACTGTATGCCACGAGTGAAGAAGTGGACATACGGTGAGGAAATCGTTATTATTCTTATTTTTTCTGCAAAGCATTCCCCTGAAACAGATGCAAAGAGTAGTTTTAAATGGAAGAAACGATTTGATTTGGTAAGTGTATTTTCTCTAATATGTTAATAGTGTTTTAATGGTTTATTTCAGAAGACCAAAGGATAGGCAATGTGGTTCTTAAAGTTGCCAAGATGTCCCAGGTACCCACTATAATTCCTAAATTTTAATCCATATTAAGTAAATATGAAGATGGAATGCTGCAAGATCACCTCTATCATTGTGCATGTTTACAATGATGTCTTTTGCTTCTACACCAGGGGTGTCAAACTGCCAGCCTGCGGGCCGGATGCATCACCCGCACCCACCCCAGCTCCGGCAAGGGGAAAAAAGCCACAAAACACCGCAACATGTCATGTGACGCAGCGAGTTTGACACTCCTGTTCTATACAGATCTCACTAAGATTATAGAAAGTATAACATGGGGATACTTTATGTTCTGACAAACAGACTTTTTTTGGACTGTTGTAGTAATAGAACAGCCCTAACAATGCTTAACAAGAAAACCTTAACAATCATGATGCATCCACCACATGCTTTCAAAATTCCAATGTGTCCCAACCCAAGAAGATTCCATATCTCTGAAATATACTATATTTCTGTTCTGGAATATGTCCACTAAATCTTTCACTGTAAGGAAAAATACTCTTTTCATATGCCTTTGGAAGCCATCCTAAATTTTGCAGCACAGGACAGTCTTCCCCAAACTGGCATCATCTACATAGTTTAAAGAATACATTTCATGCTCTCAAATCTTTATTATGATATCTGATTTGAAGAGTACAAAACTAAGATAGCTGTTACAGAGCAAGCCTACATTCAAAGAAACAGAAAACATTGTTCCCTATACGTACATACATACATACATACATACAAGATTGGACTTAAAAAGAAGGCAATTTTAAAAGCAAACTGTATAAATCAATCAAACCACAGGGGAGAGAGAAGCTGCAGCCACTCTCACTGCCCTGCTCTCTAAGGCCCCTGCTGTTTTGCACTTCATTAACCCAGCTGACCTTTGCTGCTGTTTGGCTACTGACCCAACATGACTGACCTGGCCTTTCCCAAGGCAACTGCTGAAAGTGCATGGCCTTTTTATTGAGGTTGCACCTTGCCGTTTCCTCAAGAGACTTTGGGAAGAAGAGTTGCCTCCTGAAGGGGCAGAATGTCTTGCCAGCAGCAGGAAGACAGCAAAAGTGGATCAGGACAGCAGGGGCCTCAGAGTGCAGGGCGGCGTGAGCAGCTACAGTTTTGTGCCCCACCTGTAGGCCGAGCTGGGCTAGCGGAACATAGGACAACACGGTCTTCAAAGTTCAGGGCAGTGAAGGGAGCTATGGCTTCTCACGAACTGCTTGCCTCGGCTGGAGCAGCTGCAGCTTCACACTATATTGCTGGCTGTGGCAGCTGTGGCTCCGTACTGTGCTACAGGTCAAGGGCTTCTTTCAGCTCTAGAACTGTGGCAAGCTATGAAACCCCTGAGCCACCGTGCAGCGAGCAGTCCCCAAGCAAGCAGTTCTAGTGCTCTTACTGCCCCTTAAGGCAGGCTGCAATGTGGCCAAAAGGGCAGAGATGGGAGTAGACTATTGGTTGGAGGGAGTTTAAGGGAAGGCAGTCCTTACCTTGAAATAACAGAGACTCGGGACTGGAAGAGTCCAAACAGGAAGGGCTTGGATCAGGGTGGGTCCTTGGCTTACAATTTGGTTAACAAAGTTAGTGAGGGAAATTCTAGCCCTGTTGTAACTCAAGGACTATCAGTGTCCAACTTGCCTGAAGTAAATAACGATGACATTCGGAAAATTTTCCAGACCAAATCACCAATCATATAAACTCATAATTCCTGGAAGTAATAGGCAACTTTGTCACTAGAATAATATGCCACAAGTGAGGAATAACAGAACAGAATACCAGACTTGGAAGGAACCTTGGAGGTCTTCTAGTTAAATGACACTAAACTGGCAGGAATAGTCAGGAACACTCCAGAAAACAGGCTTAAGATCCCGATGGCTCTCAACAGACTTGAACACTGGACCCTATCTAACAAAATGAAATCCAGTGTAAAGAAAAGTAAAGTTTTACACTTAGGCAAGAAAAATCAAATGTATAGATATAGATTGGTAAAACCTGGCCCAATAGCAGTAACTGTGAAAGGGGTCTTAAAGTCCTAGTGGACAATCATTTAAATATGAGTCAGCAATGTGTGGCAGCAGCCAAAAAAGCCAATGCAATACTAGGATGCATTAATTGAAGGATAGAAGCAAGATTACATGAAGTATTAGTACCGCTTTATAAAGCCTTAGTAAAACCATATTTAGAATACTGTATCCAGTTTCGATCACCATATTATAAAAAAGATTTAGGGACTTTGGAAAGAGTGCAGAAAAGAACACAAAGATAATTGGAGGATGGAGGCCAAACCATATGAAGAACAGTTGCAGGAACTGGATTTGTCTAGCCTAATAAAAAAAGGAAGGACTAGGGGTGACATGATAACAATGTTCCAATATTTGAAGGGCTGCCACAAAGAGGGGCTCAACTATTTTCCAAAGCACCAGAAGGCAAGATAAGAAACATTGGTTAGAAACGAATCAAGGAAGAAGCAATTAGAACTAAGAAGAAATTTCCTAACAGTGAGAAAAATTAACCAGTGGAACCAGCTTGCCTTCACAAGTTGTGTGTGCTCCATCACTGGAGGCTTTTAAGAAGAGACTTGGACAGCCTTTTGTTTGGACTAGTATAAGGCAGACATGTGAACTCGCGACGTCACGTGACGTAGCGTGATGTATCAGAGCTTTTTCCCCATTACTGGCAATGGGGTGGGCGCGGTTTCATCGTGATGTATCCGGCCCACAGGCCAGCAGTTTGACACCCCTGGTATAAGGTCTCCTGCTTGAGCAGGGGGTTGAACTACAAGACGTCCAAGGTTCCTTCCAACTCTATTATTTTGTTATTCAGCAGAGACCCTATACCATTTCAGACAAATGGCTGTCCAATCTCTTCTTAAAACTCCTACGATGGAGTACCCACAATTTGGAGGCAAGCTGTTCCATGGTTAATTGTTCTGTCAGGAAATTTCTCCTTAGTTCTAGATTAGTTCTCTCCTTGATTAGTTTCCATCCACTGCTTCTTATCTTGCCTTCAGGTGTTTTGGAGAATAGGTTGACCCCCGTCTTCCCTGTGGCAGCCCTCAAATATGGGAGCACTGCTATCATATCACCTCTAATATTTCTTTTTACTAGACTATTTTTGATAAGTTTTTGCCTCCAGACCCCTAATCATCTTTGTTGTTAGATAAGAAATATAAAGCTAACATAAAGGAAAAAAGTTATATTATTATCTGGACAAACAAGACCTGTAAGACAAAAGACCTAAGTACCTAAGGTATAATAAAAAGGAGTCTTGCTATTCAGTAATGTTTGCACCATTAGCTGTCTCAGCTTCCTGAATATCACACATAACATTCATAGTAACTGATGTACATTTAATGCCCAATATATCACTACACTTATCTCCTATTACCAAGTCTCTTTTTTAAAAAATCGCCACAAAGTGTGAGCAGCTTTTGGATCCAGATGTCCTTCTGTGAGGTATCCAGATTTCCCTCCAAATGTGCTTTGAATTCCAACAGTATAGCGCAGACCACTAGCAGATGATGGGGAAAAAAATAAAAACTGTAGACTAAAACAAAATTAGCATTCTTAAAAAAAATTGTTTTAAGAAAAATTGGTAATAATCTAAAATAGAATACAAAAAAATTACAAAAGAAATACAGCTAAAGACATTAAAGCAACCTAATTCTAGGCTTCTATGTCGGTATCTTATATCCAGGCCAGGAAGAGGTTTTCTACTAATTCACTGTCCAAATCTTGCCTCTTCCAAGTCCATAATTTGATTCTATGAACAGAGAATCAAGGCATCCAGTTCAGAGACAAAAGCAAAAGCGGGCCGATTCCCTTTTCTCCAAAACAGGAGATGTCTACAGTCAACAACTGCAAGATAGTTTATTTAACAGCGGCCATTTCGCTCCAACACAGTTACTCATCACTATTTTCTGCCACCAGCTCCTAACCCAACCCAACCCAACCCAACCTAGAGATAGGAAGAACCGATACTCCTCTGTATTTTTAACATTAAAAAGGGCGGAGACGGCAGGACGAGCAGAAATGGCTCCTGGGATGGGAAAGGGCAGCCCGAGCATCATAGAGAGCCTGAAAAGCAGCAGTCTGGGGCGGCTGCCGAGCCCTGGCTTCTTCACTTCGGGAATCCTGAAACCCGCAGGCCGGGACTGCCGCCTATAGGCATCGAATGGGGGGCGGTGGGGAGACGGGGAGCACCAAGAATGTGTCAAAGGGACAAAGCCCCAAGCAATGCCAGACTCAGGGCAGGGCGAGAAGGGCTTGCAGGAAGGGCGGGCGAAGGGATTCCCTCTCCAACTACACCGTCATAGACCCATGAGCCCCCGCGGAGAGGAGAGAAGGAGCAACTCTCACCTCAGCCTCACCGAGGAGGAGGCGGCGGCCCCGGCGGCCGAGGGGTTCTAATCCCGCCCCGGTTGCCCAGGAAGCGACAGGGCCCCTTTACAGGCAGCGGTCTACCGATCGCAGAAACGCCGATGCGAAGAAGGGCAGGTCGGCCTACGCGGAGAAAGGGCTGAAGAAGAGCACCGAACAATCGATAAGGAGGCGGAGAGTGCGGCTCTCGCGGACCGCTCGCGCTCGTCGGACTACTAGCTGGTGGGAGAGGTGCGTTGGGAGGGCCACGTCCGGACTCTTGCGTCCTGCTAGATTTCCGGGTGCAAACTCCGGATCACCACTGGAGGACGGAATTGCAATTTTCCACCGCCCAGATTGGGAATCCGGACCGATTTCACTTCGATAAACTACACTAGGCGAATCGAGGATTTTCTAGGACAGATTGGGAAGCTAAATAACATATTATGGAAGGAGGCAGTGCGAAATCGTTCATTCAGTAGCAGGGGACGAGCTCGCTTTACTGTTCTAGCCCAGCACCTTGTTGGATATCGGAAAATTAAATAGGCTCAGACCTAGCTAGTTTTTCAGAGCAAGACCGCCAGAAAATTCAGAGGCTATAAAGTTGACTGGAAAGGAAGGGGGGGGGGGAATTCTTAGAAAAGTAATTCCCAAAACAGCCGGTTTTACTACAAAAACCAAATTGATTGTGGCAAATGGGAGTTGGGCTTGACTAGGGAAAAGTTGACTTAGAAAAACGTGATAGGACCCAGTAACGTTTTGATGTCCTGGTTTAGGGTTCTTATCATCTGAAACAAGCACAGCCAATGCAGGCCAGGGATTATGCTGCAGATCGTTCAGAAGGCTGTGATTCATAAAGCTGCAGGTGGAGAAACGAAGATTTTTTACCATAGTTATATACTTGTTCCACAGAGAAGTAGTGATGACCATAGAACAGCCAATTAAAGGAACCCACAGACCCAGTAGCACAACACTTGTAGTGATGTCTGTTGGTTATTGATTTTACCTACCAAGTGAACCCAGCCATTGTACTTTGTAAACTATGCTTTTTATTAGCACAATCTGGAACCCAATCAATTGTCATTTATTGTTTTTATTATATGCAGAAAAATATGAAATCCCAGCTGCCAGGTCTTTAGTTGCTGTTGGCCTTCATATGCATTGAGTTTTTTCCCAAAAATCTAGGATGTTATAATGTATTGGCATAGTATACATATGGATCCAAGTGGTGTGGCCTATTGTAATTGACAGATGGAAATTTTGTCAAAGCATATGCTTTGTAAAAACAAAGGTTTTTTGGTATAGCATCCAATGTACTTTCATGCCAAGGGGAGACCTAAAGCTGACTATCCTTCGTTTCTAGGCTAGCATCTTTTCTACTATACCAAATATTCATTTATTAAAGAATGTTTTTTTCAAACTAATTTAATATCTACTATGGATCAATTTGCCTTAATTTTGTGAGAAAGAAATAGAAAGATACTGAATATATGTTCAGAAGGGACATCTGGCTGGATGCATAAACAAGTAAAATGCATTGTGCCTTCCTGCGCATACATATCTGGATGAAAATGCCTGCCTTTGCTGTTAATTAGTGGGGAGCTAATAATTGTGATGTTTTAGGGGCTGGAAAGGCTTCATTTATTGTAGCTCTGGTAAAAATGAGTTGTTACATTATTTTGCATGTTTTTAACTGGCACAGTTGCAAATAAAAAATAATTTCTGAATTCATCCTCAGATATGGTAACAGGGATAAACAGCACATTAGCTTGGTTAACTTTTCAACGACTTGCACTATTGAGAATTTACACTTCTAAGGAGTACTTGAATGGGGATTTGTAAACATCTCAATGCAATGGATATTTGACTGACATTTTCCCAAGGGACTTGATTGAAGTTATTCAAATATAGCTAACTCAAAATTTTCATTGACATTATGAGTCAATTTACAATATGAAGATCAGGAATTTTTTTAAAAAATCAGGAGCCCATTGTTTCAACAAAACATTCATTTTTGCATTTTAATGCTGCTTCTTTATTGTATAAACATAGTGTTTTCCACTATATCTGGAGAAGAAGTAGACGTAGTAGACCACTACATATATCATGGCCAACAGATGGACACAATAAAGGAAATTGAACAGTGTGTTAAATGTTGGCAGGCATTTGGCAAGCTAAGCATAATTTTCAAGAGCAATCTTCCCCTATGCCTGAAGAGAAAAGTTTTCGATCAGTGTGTGTTGCCTGCTCTAACAAATGCCAGTGAAACATGGACACTAACCTTACAATCAATACAAAAGCTATGAGGTGACACAAAGAGCCATGGAAAGATACATGCTTGGCGTTACAAGACAAGATAGAAAGATCTGCACATGGATTAGAGAACAAACGAAAGTATACGATATCAAGAGAGTAAAAAAATGGAGCAAGAAGAACTGATGGCAGGTGGACCAAGGCAGTCATAGAATGGATCCCACTTGATAAAAAACATCTGTGAAAAGGGACCTAACACAAGACAGATCGACGACATCAGCAAGTATTGAGGGTCCAATTGGCAAAAGAAAGGTCGACCATATTGGCTGGAAACATGCGGAAGAGGCCTTCATCCTGCAATGGACAGACAATGGCTAAAATGATGATGATGTTGAATGTTTTCCAAATGTATCTAGCCATTCTAGGAGTTGATAATAAGAGAAAATTGTTCCATAAAATATGCAACTTCCTTTAATCTGTAGGAGGTGATACAAGTTCTGTAATTGTCTATAGAAATTCTCAGTCATCTAGGATGGTTATCCCAAGGGAGCTTTTTCAGGAGGCAACTGGACTTTCTTGTTATAAACAAGAAAGTCCAGTTGCCTCCTGAAAAAGCACCTTTGGGAGAAGTTCTGTAATTGATTGTGACTCTTTGAAAAGAAAGAAAAAGAAAAGCATAGATATATAGCATATCCACCTCCAGAATTGGAGGCGCGGTGGCCTATTGATGCTGGAGGAGGTCTCTGCTTCAGTGGTTCAAGCTCTAGCACTGCAGGGCGGGGTGAGTTCCCATCACTCACCTCAGCTTCTGCCCACCTAGCAGTTTAGAAGCATGTTCTATGCAAGTAGATAAATGGATGCCACTATGGTGGGGAGACGAGCTGATGCTTCATGCAGGAAGTCAGATTCCTGCTGGCTTTGAACCTTCCCAGCTGTGACATCCATTTGCTAGGTGGCTCTGGTGGAGGGAGGGGGTCCTTGAGTGACACTGCAGGAAGAACTGTTCATCTTTCTGGTGTGAAGCTAGATCACCCTCCTTGGCCTACCTTGGAAGCATGCGAGCATGTACTGCAACAGAGCTAGTAAATTGGCCGCCAAACTACTACTCTATATTAGCATTGTAACCTCCTGGCTAATATAACAATACCATACACTCATGATCACCCCCAGAAGAAAGAAAATATTAACTGACAGTATTTGCGCTACAGTAGAGAAGGAAATACTAGAAGACTACCAAAATACTCAACATCAAAGATACCCATCCACAAACCATGAACTCTGAAGTAATCTCCCCAAAGCACCTTTTAATCCTGTCACTATCTAACATTCTTTTGGAGAAGAGCATAGATTTGAAGACATCTTGAATGCAAACGAAGTTTTAAAATCAGTGTTTCACAAGGCTAATTATTATTTTACAAGCTGTCCATTGCAAAGTAATTTGGTAATGCCACTAGGTGGTGCTGTTAGCACATATGAACAAAGGCATTTTTTTTCTTGTTCTGTCAGACCAATTAATCTGTGATAGGCAGTACTTTTTATAATTAGTATAGTAATCTGTTATATTACAGTTTACAACTAAACCACTTTTATTACCACCAGATCATATTTTCCTTTTTCTATCAGAATGTCTTTTGTTTGTATTCTGGTGTATGAAAACTACATAAATGCACACATACTAAAAACAGAAGTATTAATAAATACATAATATGAGTTATTTTTACAACTATATGGAATGCTTCATAGAAGATAAGATAAAATATTTCAGTCCAGTGTATTTGGAAAAGAAAATTAAGGAGCTTTGAATATTTAGTCAAAAAATCCTTTGGAAAGATATAATGCCTTTAGATCTGCTAAACTGTAACTTATTCATCTATATTCACTAGATATTGAATATTCATTAAATTATATAAAACAGAACTATTGGGAACAGGGGAAACTTGATAAATAATTGGCTTCTAGAGTGAAACAAGAAGAAGAATCTGATAATGTTTCTACCATTTAGGTCTCAGGTTGATATATTTAATTATTGTAATTCAATAAATTAACATTTTTGTACTCAACTTCAAACTGGATCCTGCATTGGAACCTTGTGAACGGATTAAAGGTTTTTTCCCTCACAAGATTAGTTTGCTGATTTATCTGTCTCATATTTAAAAACAATATTAGAAACTATTAAATCCATGAAAACAGGGTAGTCTCCTAATCCAGACGGATGTTTATAGAAGGGTATAAGCATATATGGAGTGGTGATATGTGATAGGCACAAGTTGGCAAGGGTATGAGTGTTGCACAAGAAACATAGATAGTGGTAGTGGGTG